AAGCACAATAGAGAGGTGAAACAAAGCCCAAAGTTTGTTCTTAGAAAGTGCTAATAAAATTAAAAATATATATTGCAAGATTGGTCGAAGAAAAAAGAAAATGGATATAAATACAATAATATTAGAGATGAAAAAAAAAGGGGACAATTATAGGCACAGCAGAGATTTTAAAGCAAAATAGAAATAAAAATATGAGAAATGGTAGGCTAAGAAATTTGAAAACTTAGAGATAAAAGTGAACAACTTCCTAAAATATACATAATGGAATAACAGTGAGGAAATAGAAAATTAAATAGATCTACAACCACCGGAACAATGAAATCAGTAGTTAAAAATAAACCGCATGGCCCTAACTGTTTTTGGCTCAGTGGATAGAGCGTCGGCCTGTGGACTGAAAGGTCCCGGGTTTGATTCTGGTCAAGGGCATGTACATGGGTTGCGGGCACACCCCCAGTAGGAGATGTGCAGGAAGAGTCTGATTGATGTTTCTCTCTCATTGATGTTTCTGACTCTCTGTCCCTCTCTCTTCCTTTCTGTAAATATCAATAAAATGTATTAAAATAATAATAATTTAAAAAATAAACCACGTGGCTTACACACACTGTGGTAGCCAGGCTCCCATGTGGCTCCCCGAGATCCTGCTCCTACTATCCCCTTTCTCCCACAGTGAATAGGGCTGACTTCAGTAAACCAGGAGGAAACTGGAAATGATGAAATATGACTTCTGAGGCTGCATTGTAAAAGGCACTGTGACTGCTGCGCTGAGCTCTCTCTCTAAATCTGGTGGGTGCCAGCATAACCAGGCTCAGTTTGCTTCAGGAATGCAATAATGAATTCATTTTTCAAAATCTATAAATTTTATTAACCACTTTAACACACTTAACATCTACTCATGACTTTAAAAAAAATACTTAACTAGAGTTAGAAATGTCACATTTGCCTGGCCAGTATGGCTCAACGGTTAAGCACTAACCCAAGAACCAAGTTCATGTCATGAAGACACTCAAGCCCCCTATGAAAAGGTTCACTTGGCAAGGCTCTGAGGCCTTCTGTCATTAGCCTGCTAAGAACGGACAACAATGATGTGAGATATTTTGGAAGCATATCCTCCAGCCCCTGTGAAGATGACTATAGTCTCAGCCAACATTTTAATGATAACCCATGAAAGACCTTAAGCCAGAATCACCCAATGAAACTGCTCCCAATTTTCCTATCCTCAGAAACTGTGAGATAATGTATGTTACTAGAGGCCCAGTGCACAAAATTCGTGCATGGGGGCGAGGAGGGGGGCGATTGTCCCTCAGCCCAGCCTGCACCCTCTCCAATCTGGGATCCCTCTCACAATCCAGGACTGCTGGCTCACAACTGCTCACCTCCCTGCCTTCCTGATTGCCCCTAATTGCTTCTGCCTGCCAGCCTGATCACCCCCTAACCACTCATGCCAGACTGATTGATGTCTAACTGCTCCCCTGTCAGCCTGTTTGCCCCCAACTTCCCTCCTCTGCCGGCCTGGTCACCCCTAACTGCCCTCCCTGAAGGGTTGATTGCCGCAAACTGCCCTCCCTTGCAGGCCTGGTGCCTCCCAACTGCCCTCCCCTGCTGGCCATCTTGTGCTCACATAGGGGTAGGATCTTTGACCACATGGAGGCAGTCATCTTGTGTATTGGAGTGATAGTCAATCTGCATATTACTTTTTTATTAGATAGGATTGTTTTAAGCCACTGAGATTTGTGTCATTTGCTATGCAGCAATAAGTAATACAATAAAACCAAGCCAAAATGGTCTTAAAAAATAGTTCTATAATACATTCAAGAAATAGATAATCCCATGTTTTATAAACTGTCCACAGCAATTGTCCCCATCTGCTTTATGAGGCTGCATAATTTGGATGATTCAGTTAAAATCAGTCAAATGTATTATTTTTGAAAGATTCACAAGAGAATCTCACCAATGAATGGATAATAAAAGTTTGAAACAAAATATTAGTAAACTGAATCCAACAATACATTTTTTAAATATATTTTATTGATTTTTTACAGAGAGGAAGGGAGAGAGATAGAGAGCTAGAAACATCGATGAGAGAGAAACATTGACCAGCTGCGTCCTGCACACCCCCTACCGGGGATGTGCCCGCAACCAACGTACATGCCCTTGACCGGAATCGAACCTGGGACCTTTCAGTCTGCAGACCAACGCTCTATCACTGAGCCAAACCGGTTTTGGCCAACAATGCATTTTTTAAATGCATAACCAGGCTCAGTTTGCTTCAGGAATGCAATAATAAATTTATTTTTCAAAATCTATATGTTTTATTAACCACTTTAACACATTGAAGGAGAAAGACTATATATGCATCTTAATGATGAAAAAATATTGATAAAATTTAACATTTACACATGACTTAAAAAAATACTTAACTAACTAGGGTTAGAAATGTCACATTAGCCTGACCAGTATGGCTCAGCAGTTGAGCATCAACCCAGGAACCAAGTTGATCCTTAGTCAGGGCACATGTCTGAGATTGTAAGCTCCATCCCCAGTAGGGGGAGTGCAAGAGGCAGCCAATCTATGATGTTTCTCTCCAACAATGTTTTTTCTCTATATATATTTCTCTCCCTTCATCTCTCTCTAAAAATCAATTTTTAAAAAATCTATGTGGCCAAGAAGATCCAAGATGGCTGCACTCAGGTAAACACCTAGCCGCAGCCGCACACAACAATTTCAATAAAATACAACTAAAATATAAAATAGACATTACCCAGAACTACAGGAAAGTCAACTGACTGGAAATTCTACAACGAGAAGCAAGGAGAAAACCAGAAGGAAGCACGGAAGAGCTGGAAAAGCCCAAGGTACGGAGACACGCGGCGCGCGCAGAGAGGACAGAGCTGGAGAGGAGGGAGGCCGAGTGCCTGGCTGGCGTTCCCTAGCAGGAAGGAGATAAACGCTCCAACTGCGTTGGGCCCCAGTTGTGACTGCTCTGAACCCCAGTTCTAGGCCAGACCCCGGGGACCCAGGCTCATCCATAGGGAGCTAGGCTGTAAGGCGGAACCCCGGGGGAGCGGCGAGAGGAGGTCCCAGCAGCGCGCACATTGCGCGCAGAGAAGGGACAGTCGGTTGTGCCGCGGGATTGCCCTGGCCGGAAGGAGACTGGGGCTCCAGTCTGCTCTGAACGCCACCTCCAACTCCACTTACAACTGAACTGAACCTCAATACCGGGCTCATTGGGGGAGAGCATAGACTGTTTGGTAGCAGCGAAAATCGAGAGCACCTTTCTCTCAGAGGTGCTTGCAACGAGTATTGAAGGACCCTGAGACCCAGGAACCGCATAGGGCGGGGCTGACAGAAGCCAAGGCTATAGGCTCCACCCTGAAATCCCGTCCCATCTGTAACTGCGAAATGCAACAATGAAATAGATCACAAACGAAAGAAGAGGACAAAAAGTGACTAGATACAGAGTTCAAAACTACGCTTATGAGGTTTTTCAAGAATTTCCTAGAAAAGATGGATAAGACCTATGAGGATATGAAAAGAGATCAACTAGAATTAATAAGGAGTCAACAAGAAATGATAAGGGATCAACAAGAAATAAAGAATACATTGTCTGAAATAAAAATATTATACAAAATCCTAAAAACAGAATGGAAGACCATAAGAATCAAGTCAAAGATTTGGAACATAAAGAACCAGAAGACACTCCTCCACAGAAGCAAGAAGGCAAGAGAATCCAGAAAATTGAAGATAATGTAAGAAACCTCTGGGACAACTTCAAGCGAACCAACATCAGAATTATGGGGATACCAGAAGATGAGAGAGAGCAAGATATCAAAAACATACTGAAAGAAATAGTGACAGAAAATTTCCCCCACCTGGTGAAAGAATTAGACTTACAAGTCCAGGAAGCACACAGAACTCCAAACAAAAGGAATCCAAAGAGGACCACACCAAGACACATCATAATTAAAATTCCAAGAGCAAAAGACAAAGAGAGAATATTAAAAGCAGCAAGAGCAAAGAAGGTAGTTACCTATAAAGGAGCACCTATATGATTGTCAGCTGACTTCTCAACAGAAACCATGCAGGCCAGGCCAGACAGGAATGGCAAGAAATATTCAAGGTGATGAATAGTAAGAATCTACAGCCAAGGATAATCTATCCAGCAAAGCTATCACTCAGAATCGAAGGTCAGATAAAGAGCTTCACTAATAAAAAAAAAAGCTAAAGGAGTTCATCAACACCAAACCAGAATTATATGAATTGCTGAAGGGGGTTCTTTTGGAAGAGAAAGTAAATAAGATAAAAATTATGAACAACAAATACGTAACTATCAACAAGTAAATCTAAAAACCAAGGAGATTAAAAAAATCTGATGAACAATATTAACTGTTGAATATAATATAATATAATCAGAGGTATGGAAGGGAAGTGAACTGACGATTCTTGGGGAAAAGGGGAGAGGGGGATGTGGGAAGAGACTGAACAGAAACTGTGCACCTATGGATGAGGACAATGGGGAATGGGGAAAGGGCAGAGGGTGAGGTGGGAACCTGGTGGAGGAGAGCAATGGTGGGGGGGAAAAAGGAACATTTGTAATAAAATGAACAATAAAAAATTATTTAAAAAAAAATCTATGTGGCCAAAACTGTTTTGGCTCAGTGGATAGGGCAATGGCCTGTGGACCGAGGGGTCCCAGGTTTGATTCCGGTCAGAGGCATGTACCTTGCTTGCGGGCACATCCCCAGTGGAGGGTGTGCAGGAAGCAGCTGATCAATGTTTCTCTCTCATTGATGTTTCTAACTCTATATCCTTCTCCCTTCCTCTCTGTAAAAAATCAATAAAATTATTTTTTAAAAATCTATGTGCCTCTAATTAAAAATTACCTTTATATAAAAAAGAAATGTCACATATATTGATGAAACCTTAGAGGCATTTTAGTTGCAATCAGATGCTTTTAAGGACACTCATTATCACCATTTCTTTCTTTCTTTTTTTTTTTTTAGAGTCAACAGTGTACTTTATTATACATCTTAGATTTAATATTTCATAAATTGTTTTAAAGCTTCAATCAATAGTTCAATACCAAATAAAAAAAATTATATTTATGCAGCAGTGGTTCTCAGGCATAGAATTTAGGAGGAGATTGGGGCTTTTTTCCTCCTAGCATATAGTGAATATTATGAACTATGATAGTATAATAGAATGTTTCCATCTGACTTAGCTGCCTTTCTGACTGAATTTTATTACAGTGGACAGCTTTAATAGGTATGATGATGCTACCTGGAAACAAGGAATTAAAATATTTTCTTGAAGTCTTTAAAGTACTTTTAAATAAGTGCTTTTCTCTAACAGAAGTCTAATGTCATCCAATGAAAATATTAGGTCTAGTAATAATTAATGTCGTTTTCTAATACCTTTTTTAAATCGAATTTATTTAAACAATACAACAAAATTTAATCAACAATATAGTTGCCGTTGTTTTCTATTATACTTGTGCCCAATGCTCAGGAAGCATTTTAATCCCTCTGTTGTAAAATTCTTGTGATTTTGATGCAAAAAATTCGGTCAATGCATTTTTGAGGCATTCTTCATTATTAAATTTTTTTCCAAGAAGAAAGTTTTGCAAAGAATGAAACAAATGGTAATCGGAAGGGGCAATATCAGGAGAATATGCAGGTTGAGGGAGAACTTCCCATTCCAACTGGCGCAGTTTTTCAGCAGTGATTCTTGCAGTATGCGGTCGTGTGTTATCGTGGTGAAGAATGACGCCCTTCCGATTAATCAGCGCGGGTTCTTTTTCTCTTAAAGCTTGGGCTAACCTTTCCAATTGGGCACTATACACTGCACTTGTAATGGTTTGGTTAGATGGTAAAAGTTCATAATGAAGAATTCCTTTAAAATTCCACCAAACACACAACATCACTTTTTTCGCATGCAAGTCAGGTTTTGGCGTGGGCTGCGGAGCCTCATTTTTGTCCAACCATTGAGGCCGCCTTTTCAAATTAACATACAGCACCCATTCTTCCTCTCCGGTAACAATTTGCTCTAAAAACGGCAAACGGTTTTGACGAGAGAGGAGTGAACTGCAAATTGTGACTCTTTGATTGCAATTGTTGTCGGTCAACTCATGAGGAACCCATTTTCCAAACTTTTGGACTTTGCCAAGTGCACGCAATTGATTGGAAATTGTTTTTTGTGAACAATTTAAAGTTGTCGCAAGCTCTTGTTGGGTAATTTGAGGAATTTGCACCAAAAGAGCTTGAAGAGCTTCTTGATCAAAATTGGACATACGGCCTCGACCACTCTTGTCATCTAACGAAAAATTTCCCTCGCGAAATTTCTCAAGCCAACGCTGGCATTTTCTGGCGCTAACTGCATCTTGACCAAGAGCACTACAGATGTTTTTTGCAGCCTCACTTGCTTTTCTTCCTAATTGGAACTCGTAAAGCATGCAGTGCAGAATATGCTCTTCATCCGCGATCTTCTTAGCCCTAGTTTTGCAACAAAAACCAAACCAAACACAAACTTTTTCAAGCAAAACTTGTTAATTGCACTTCACACGTTCTGTAGATACCACGTGTTTGAAGGTTATGTCAATACAAGTCAACGCCAAGCAAGATTTTAAACGAATGTTTAAAAACGACATTAATTATTACTAGACCCGATAATATTATCCACAAAATATCTGGAGCATTAACCTAAGAACCACTGCCCATGGTTATTCAATATCTTCAGGTCTCACAGGATGAGGTAATGGTAGGATGGATTTCTTCTCAGTGTCCCTGGAAAGTGCTTTTCTTATATCGTAAGCATCCTCGTCGGGCTCCCCATTGCTGGCTGAATAGTACTCGATGACCGTCCTGTACACGCTGTAGCCCAGCTGCTTGTCCATGTTGACGGCAACTTGGTTAGATACTCTTACAAAGAGATCAACAAAAAATCCACCTTTTCTTTCTGAAATTTCCTCTAACAACTCCATAAGTTTAGCAGCCAAATCAAGGCGTCGAAATTCTGGAGAAACAGACAGAGCTGTGACATGCCCATGCCATTCTTCCCTAGCAACGGAGCCTTCTGCTTTACCCATAATATGGCCCATTAACTGTCCACCGGGTGCCTCTGCAACAATGAAATACTCTGGCCAATGGGCAAGATACTGTAAATAGAAAGGAATCCCATAAGTTTCTGTAAGTGGATCCAAGTTAATGTCGTTGAAGCGGAACAGGTCATCGCAGGTGAAGGCCCGGAGCGTGGTCAAGACGCCGCCGCCACCGCCGATGCCACCGCCGCCAAAGCTGAATCGCCGGGACTTCGCATGCCCCGCCGGAAGTCCTCATTATCACCATTTCTGTTTGACATTATATTGGAAGTTTTAGCCAGTGCAGATAAGATTTTTTTAAGATAGAAAGATAAATAAATAAAAGATATAAGTTTTCAATAGGAAGAAACGAATTATTAGATTTGTTGTCAGATAAAATATAATTATGTAAAAATAATTCCATTTCCTTATACCTGTAATAAGCAATCAGAAAATGTAATTTTAAAAAGTGATAACAACTACAATAGCAACAAGAATTCACAATAGGGGAGCAGACCTAGGAATAAACCTAACAATATTTGTGCAAGATTTTATGAAAGAATTCTGAAACTTCACTGAAAGATTAGAAAAGACCTAGAAAATTGGTAAGATGAACCATGTTCACAGTTTGTAAGTCTACAGGCCTTGTGGATGTCTTGGGAAAGCTGTATATCCCTGATGTCAGCGGCTTCTTATCCTCAAAGAGTCTGTCTGATCTCTGCTGTAGGAGGAGGGAGGCAAATGTCACAGACAGGGGCAGCTGTCTATTCGTGGTTAAGATCCCTTCCACTGAGTTGGAGAAAGTCTTACATTTTCCAATGGACAAAATCTCCTGGTTGTAAGCCACAGTCCTCGAAGTCTTGTCTGCTGAGAGTGCACTGTGAAATGAATGTCACTAATGTATCCACTTATTAACCTGTCCCTGGTTAATAAGCTGGTTGATAAGTTCCTGATAATAATGCAGAATGGCTGAAACCGGTTTGGCTCAGTGGTAGAGCGTCGGCCTGGGGACTGAAAGGTCCCAGGTTCGATTCCGGTCAAGGGCATGTACATTGGTTGCGGGCACATCCCCCGTAGGCGGTGTGCAAGAGGCAGCTGATCGATGATTCTCTCTCATTGATGTTTCTAACTCTATCCCTCTTCATCTCTGTGAAAAATCAATAAAATATATTAAAAAAATAATGCAGAATGTCTCCTTTTATTTTTTTAAAAGATTTTTTAAAACATATTTTATTGATTTTACACAGAGAGGAATTGAGAGGGATAGAGAGTTAGAAACGTCGATGAGAGAGATACATTGACCAGCTGCCTCTTGCACACCCCCCACTGGGGATGTGCCCACAACCAAGGTACGTGCCCTTGACCAGAATGGAATCCGGGACCCTTCAGTCCCCAGACCGACGCTCTATCCACTGAGCCAAACCGGTTTCAGAATGTCTCCTTTTAGTAAGGTTGATTCATAGGACCTTTCATCCAGAAGCATAGGGTGACCAGTGACTATTTAAGGAGGAGATAAGCTATGTGTTTACCAAAAGAAGTTGATTTCAGGTCAAGGAGCATATAAGGAGAGCTTTTGGCCAAGGGAAATTAAAGGCTTCTGAAAACGTAACTAGTTGAGCTTTAATGGTGTCATTTTCATGTTCTACCAATCCAGAGAACTGGGGTGATGGGCACGATGAAAATATTGTAGAATAGGCCAAATACTACGAATGGATTGCATTATTTGCCCAGTGAATGAATCCCTCAGTTCCTGTACCTCAGAGGGAATTCCCAATTGGGAGTTAATTTTTCCCAATAGTAATTTACCTACTGTTAAGGCTGTTGCTTTCCTGCAAGGAAATGCCTCCACTCAGTGGAAACAAACAAAAAGCAAACATGCAAATCATAACGAGCATGTTTTGCGATGGAGGCATTTGTGAGGGGGTGTACAGAAGCAGCTGATCGATGTTTCTCTCTCATCGATGTTTCTAACTTTCTATCCCTCTCCCTTCCTCTCTGTAAAAAATCAATAAAATATATTTTTAAAAATATCTGAAGCAAATAAAGCAAAGAATAAAGATTGTATAAAGCAGGTTCAGGTGTCCAAAGTTATTCTCTTAACTTTTCTGAATGTTTAAAGATAATGGCCAGGGGAGATGTTTTCACTGGAGGGGACACCAACACAGAAGCCCAATGGAAGTGAGTACTTGGTTTTAGCCACTGCTCCATCCTCCGCTTAGAAGAGGGCCAGGTACAGAGGAGGTACTCAACAAACATTTGCTGACTGAATGAACTTCTGCAAAGGCAGTGAAATATGTTAAAACACAGTGTGTTCAAAAGAGCTATTAGTCGAAACCGGTTTGGCTCAGTGGATAGAGCATCAGCCTGCAGACTGAAAGGTCCCAGGTCTGATTCTGGTCAAGGGCATGTACCTTGGTTGCAGGCACATCCCCAGTAGGGGGGGTGCAAGAGGCAGCTGATTGATGATTCTCTCTCATCGATGTTCCTGACTATCCCTCTCTCTTCCTCTCTGTGAAAAATCAATAAAATATATTTTTTTTAAAAATCCAAAAGAGCTATCGTAGCAATAGCCTACTTCTACTGAGTCCACATGCACCAGCCACTGACTTAACTGTTTGGCCTGAGTTATTATATTCTGTTCTTGCAACCAGGTAAGGACCGTAACTATCCTCACCATCCAGGTGAGGAAATGGAGGCTTCGAGAGGGAGGCCGCTTGCCCGAGAGCATAGTGGTTAGGACTAGAGTCCGTAATGCATCAAAGAAGTCTGGGTTTTACGCTATAGGTGGGTGCAAAATTTGGAACAGTAGAAATAAATGATACAAGGAGGCACACACACACACACACACACACACACACACACACCGGAGTGAAGGGTGACCAGGAGCAGACGGGGTGGGGAGGGTGCCAAGTGCCCGACAGCCTGCGAGGGGGGCACACAGCGGGAACACGGCAGTCTGCCGGGCAGTCTGGAAATGCTTTACCAGGAGGAGACATTTCAACGTGGCCTTGAAGGAGAAGTGCGCCTGCAAATGCCAGGAACCCAGCAATCCCTGCTCCGTGTCCTGTCGGCGTTGTTCTGAGGATCCATTGCTCCGGCCTGGCAGCACAGAGCCTGCCTGCACGGGGCTGAGGCCACACACGCGTGAAGACGAACTGGGGTGAAGGTAACCTTCCGTCTGAGGAAGTTCTCTCTCACCTCTACACTCAGAGAGCAGAAAAGGCAGCCAGAGCTCTCCGTTAGAAGTCAGGATGGCAGTGCCACAGGGCACGGCCTGGCCTTTAGGAAGAGCTGACCTGGGAGCAGTGACTGTTCGCTGGGCACTGCGCTGCTGTCACAGGCTGTGGTGCCTCTGATTCTCACAGCTCTGTGAAGCAGGCACTCTGCATCCCTTGCCAGGGACGAGGGAACCCAGGCGTGTACAACCTAAGTATCCGGCCCTCGTCCTGTGCAGTTAGAACGCGGTGGAGCTGGGATTTGAACCCACGGTTGTCACCACTCCACCCGTGTTTTAACCACTGCTGCTCACGGGCATCCATTGAAAGCAACAAGGTTTTTACCGCTTTCCATCGGAAGAATAAACAAGAATGAGGTCAAGCACAATAAACCGGAAACCAAGCTTGCCGTTGCATCCATGAACTCCTGCCACATGGCAGGTGCTCCATAACTGCTTGTGAAATGAGGTAGCATTTAGTTCAGTGTCAATGATAGACTTCTCTCTCATAGCAGTTTCATAAGTCTTTGCAGGCACGCGCACACACACAGGGACTCTCTGAATCAATGCCCCACCCCCACCCTGTGGGACACACACACACACACACACACACACACACACACACACACATACATACATACACATACACACATACACACACACACACACACACACACACACACACACTTAGAGCTCCTGGTGAGCTCCCACTTGTCTCAAATCTCTGCTCCACTCACCCTCCCCAGGGCCCTTCCTCCTGCTCCTTGGCGCTCAGGCCTGACTGTCACTGCTGCGCTCCTGGAAGCAAGGCCCTGTGCTCTTTTCTCTCTCAGCCTGCACTGAGTGAAGGAGTCCCACCCTCTCCCAAATAGCCCACGGAGGTACAAACAGTGAGAAGAAGAAGAAGAAAAGAAATAGGACAAGGAAAAGAACTGGAAGAGTTCTGCTTTTCAAACAAAAGTAAAGAGAACAATCCTTCCTTTCCCCAGGAAAAGCCACTCCCACTTGGATCGTGTGTATTCATTTTATTCTTTTATTGCACATTTACCAGACAGGAGCCAGACCCCGGCCTGGAGGTGGCGGCTCTCCCGCACCCTTCCTCAGGACGCTCTGAGATAGCCCTCTCTCCACCGGGCACCGGGGCACAGAGATGTGGTGAACACAACCCACATTCCCAGGACCCCACGGTGAGGGATGAAGCAAAGCAAGCTGTCACAATTTACAAATGTAAAGGCAATTCTAGGAAAGAGGAGGGAGGAGGAGGAGACAGAGAGGTGGGTTTGAGAGCAGAGGGGAGGGCAGCAATCTGTCTGGACTCTCCCAGAGTCACATCTAACAATACCCTGGTCGCCTTTTCATTCGTTACACGGTTTCGCCGCTGGCTCAAACCAGAGCTCTCTCTCTGATTAATTTTCGGAAGAGCCGGAGGAGTTTAATCATAGCAAACACAATGACCACGGTTATTACGGCCTGCGTGGCTAAAAGCAGCATATAAAGACCCCAGAACAGGCGATGGTCCTGACGCTGGCCCTCGGCCACCGGCTGGGCCCACGCCCAGGGCTCTGGGCTGGTAGGCACCCAGGCTGGGCGATCGCGGGCCACGGGCAGGACCAGCCTGGTGGGGGCGAGAGAGTGGGGAGTGCTCGGGGCCCTGGTGCTCGGACACCTCAGGTCACCGTCCGACAGGGCGTGCAGCAGCAGGCCACGGGGCTGCCCCTGGCACCGCGGGGACTGCTCCACGTGGCCCGTGAGGCCCGGGTGCTGCCTCAGCCACGCCAGGAACGGCAGCAGGTCGCAGTCGCAGCGCCAGGGATTGTGCCTCAGCAGGACCTCCGACAGCCGGGGCAGGCCCTCGAACATGTCGCCCGGCAGGGTCTGCAACTGGTTGTGCTCGAGCCGCAGCCACTCGAGGCTGCGGAGGCCGCGGAAGAGCCCGCGGGGCAGGGTCCGCAGTGCGTTGCGGCTCAGCGACAGCTGGCGCAGCTGGCCGAGGCCGCGGAAGGCGCCATCGGGCAGGGTGCGCAGCTGGGTGCCGTTCAGCCACAGCTCGCGCAGGCCCGCCATCTCCCCGAAGAGCACGGCTGGGAGCTCCTCCAGCGGGTTCTCGTGCAGCGCCAGGGAGGTCAGGTTGTGCAGATGGAGGAAGAGGGCGGAGGGCAGGGACCTGAGCTGGTTCCTGGAAAGCTTCAGGATGCTCAGGTCGCGGAGCTGGTCAAAGGCCCCGGGCGCCAGGGCCCGGAGGCGGTTGCCGTCCAGCTGCAGCTCTGCCAGAGCGCGCAGGCCGCTCAGCAGCCCCGGATCCAGAGCCGCGAGCCGGTTGGAACTGAGCACGAGCTTCTCCAGCTTGGCCTGCGCACCCAGCAAGCCCGGGGGCAAGTGAGTCAGATTGTTCGCCGATAAGTCCAGCACCCGCAGGCCCCGCAGGTGCGCCAAGAGGCCCGCGGGGAGGGAGACGAGCTGATTCACGTTCAGGAAGAGGAACTGCAGGTTCACTAGGTTCCGGAACAGGAGTGGGTCGAGGCGCGTCAGCGCATTGTGGTCCAGATACAGATGCTCCAGGAGCACCAGGCTGTCGAAGAGCGCGCCTGGCAGGTCCCGGATGTGGTTGTGTGACAGCCGGAGGGTTTTCAGGTTCCCCAGGTCCTGGAAGGTGCCCGGGGCGACGGCGGCGATGTGGCTTTGGGTCAGCAAGAGGCGCTGCAGCACCGTCATGCCGCGGAAGCTGTCGCTCCGCAGGGTGCCCCGGCCCAGGCGGAACAGCGTGAGGACCATGAGGTTGGTGGGCAGGCCAAGCTCTGCGATGCGCTCCACGTCGCCCCCCGAGCACTGCACCGCGTCCCGGACGGAGCAGCCGCAGGTGGGCGGGCAGCGGGAGGGCGCAGGCTGGGCGCGCAGGAGCGCCAGCACCGCGCACAGCAGGGCGCCCCGCAGCATATCGGCCGCCTGTGGGGACAGCACACAACAAGGGCAGACATCAAACATTCGCCTGTGGCCGAAACCGGTTTGGTTCAGCGGATAGAGCGTCTACCTGCGGACTGAAAGGTCCCAGGTTCGAATCCGGTCAAGGGCATGTACCTTGGTTGCGGGCACATCCCCGGTGGGGGGGTGTGCAGGAGGCAGCTGGTCGATGTATCTCTCTCATCGATGTTTCTAGCTCTCTATCTCTCTCCCTTCCTCACTGTGAAAAATCAATAAAATATATTTTTTTTAAATAAAAATAAAATCTTTACATAGAACTCATTAAGTAATTATTCCCACATTCCAGCTCCAGCTGTGGCAGAGCAGTGCCCATGGTGAAAGAGCTCTGCTCTTGACTTTATACTCACCCAGGGCTAGCTGTAGCCAAGTCACGGAGGAAACAGCGAAGTGTTCATATGACAGCCACCACCTGAATCCTTTGGTCATAGCTACGTTATATCTGCAATATCAACTCCTCTGCGAGAACAGCAGACACTCCCCAAATAGTGAACACCCTCAGCCACACTGGGAAACGCAGGAAATAACACGTACCACTCAATGCCAGGCGTTCTTCCCAGCACTTGTATTTGAATCGATTCATTTCATCTTTACCTAACCCTATGAAGTACATACTATTATTATCCCCAAAGAATGAAGAAACTAAGGCATAGGGCGTTTAAGGGACTTCACGAGGGTCCCAGAGCTAGAATTGGAGAGTAGTGTATCTGACTGAACCATAAATAAGAAGCTATCATTTCTAAGCTGTTTGAAAATTAATACTCCTGGCATTGAATCATCTGTGAAATACACACAGGAATACGAATCTGCCAAAACAATGTTTCCCATGTGTCATTTTACACAAATCGTTTCTCGTAGCTACATTCCATTTCTTATGCACTCATGAACTCGCCAAGCCCTCTAATTTTAAAATATTCGGCCTTACCTGGAATAGCACTGCTCCCCAAAGCAACTGAGAGGCTGAGAGCCTCGCCTGTGATTCGGCACTTTCCAAAGGAAAAGGGCGGGACCCTGCATCCTCAGGATAAAGACTTCATCAGAAAGTCATGGAGAGGGCCCTGTCTCAGGAGGCATATTCGGGATTTTTAATGACAAGTATTTTCAAACCGAAAGCAACTATATATAACCTACATCCTGCTGTCAAAGCTTAATGACAAGAGCAGGAGAGAGAGAAGTTTCTCCATAAATGGCACAACCTAGCTCTGTGGAGCTGGAAAAGCTCAGTGATACATTGCAGTAGCCACACCCCTGGATGGGCCAGGCTTGCCCCAGGCTTCCTTTTCATGCCACACTACCCCGGTTCTCTAATCCAGTGGTTCCCAAACTTTTGACATATGTGTACCCCTTCTATAATTTTCGTAACGCTGAGTACCCCTTGTACTCATGAGAACGTAGAATTAGGCACAGCTAAGCACGGTGCAGTGCATATCCCCACCAAACTCCGGTGCAACGCGAACCCCCACCAAACTCTTCCCGTACCCCTGGGGGTACGCATACCACACTTTGGGAAACACTCAGTGAGTCTAATCCATTCCCCTCCTCCTTGGATGAATAATAAGGCTTAGACTAGCCTCCAGTGCAACACTCCATTTCATTTTAGAATTAATAAGGCTGAAAACATTCTCAAAGATGTTCAGTTATGCATCACTAAGTGAGTTGAAGGGTGTTCACATGTTCAACTTAGGACTGTCAAACTGCCTCCCACAACAGTTATACCCATACGTGATGCCACCTGCGGTGCAGGACAGTCCCTGTGCTTCACAGCTCTGCCCATACTTGGGATTGATTTTTTTAAATATACTTTTTGCAATTCATGTGAAATGATTGTCAGTATGGTTTTTAATGGGCTCAAGACACTTTTCATACTTTAAGGACCACTTCATCTTCTGAGAAATTCAGCTTTCCTTTGCCTATTTGTCTATATGCAAAATATGTATGCTATGTCTTTAAAAAACTGAGCAATAGGCATTGTAATATATTCTGGATTCGAATCCTTGGTTGGTTATAGGTGTTATAAATATCTTCAACTAGTGATTTGCCTTTTAACCTTCTGTATGAGGTCAAAAGACCCGAGTCTTGTGGTAGGCAGTTATCCATCTTTCCTAATTTGTGATGTTTGTGTCTATTAAAATAAACCCCCCCTTCCCTCCAAAATCAGAAAACTATTTCCCTATAACGCCTAACTTTATAGCTTTGTCCTTCACTTTTAGGTCTATTTAATCCATCTATAGTTGGTTTTTGTGTATGATGTGAGTCGAGTCCAGTTTATTTTTCCCATTAGGATACCCAGCTGTCCTAGCCCTGCTTCTGTAAACCCCTTCTTCCTCACAAACCAGCACCTCATCAGTGGCTGGGTCTGTAGGTCTGTTTCTGAGCTGTTTGAAAATCCTGCGCCGTACCCCATATGAAAATAACTTTTCATGTTCAAAGCCTGAAAATAGAGTGTTTTATAAAGAGCGAACTAGACATTTTCATACAACATTGGTGGACATAAAAATTGGGGCAAACTTTTCAGAAAAAAATTTAATAGTATCAACTAAATTTAAAATACAGTATACACATTCTGTATGTATAGCCATTCCACTGATAAAAATATACTTCATGGATATGCTTATCTAAATGAGCATAACACTTATTGTGGATTTGTAACAGAAACAAAAACCTAAATGGCCATCACCGTGAACAAGATGCTTAGATTATGGCAGGTCCATGCAGTAAGATGCCGTGCAGACTTTAAAGTGAATAAAGTTGAGCTTCAAGTGCTGACGTACTTTCAAAGACACACTAAATGACAGAAAGCAAGGGCTGCGGAGCATATGCAATGGGATTCCACATGTGTAGCATTTTTAAAAACATATATTTACATGAGGATATACACATATTTTTTTTCCTGGAATGATACACCAAGAAACTTCAGTATTCATCTTTTGGGGGAGAAGCCAGGGAATAGGTGGACTTCCTTATATACCTTTCTGTGAGGTTTAAATTTTTACTAAACATGCTTATATCACAATTGCATTTTTAAAATTTAAAAATATATTTTATTGATTTTGTACAGAGAGGAAGGGAGAGAGATAGAGAGTTAGAAACATCGATGAGAGAGAGTCATCGATCAGCTGCCTCCTGCACACCCCCCACTGGGGATGTGCCCGCAACCAAGGTACATGCCCTTGACCGGAATCGAACCCGGGACCTTTCAGTCCCCAAGCCGACGCTCTATCCATTGAGCCAAACCGGCCTCGGCACAATTGCATTTTTAAAATTTAAATGCAAAAATAAAGTGATTTGGAAGGGAAAATGGCATCATTAAGGGAAAAACACATAAGGATAAAGGTATTAAAACATACTGGAAAAAGTCAAGGCTTGAATTGTGAAAGAATAAACATTAACCTCTGAATCATTGAGTGGAGTGGTACAGAAGTGATCCTTAAATTATTTCATCCTGGTTGAGAAAAATTCCCTGATCCATGACATTTGCAGATATAGAAAAAGCACTGAAATCCAAGCAGTGTTTGATGGAGCCAAATGCAGGTAAAGCCCAGTAAATGCTGTATTGGCTGAAATCACCTCTAAGTCATGAAGTCCCAAAGCACAGGGAAGCCACTCCCTCTGCCAGGGGTCATGGGCCATCTTTGAGCTCCAATCAAGAAAAGGAACTCGAGCCGAAAACAGTTTGGCTCAGTGGATAGAGCGTCGGCCTGTGGACTGAAAAGTCCCAGGTTCGATTTCAGTCAAGGGCATGTACATTGGTTGCGGGCACATCCCCAGTGGGGTGTCGGCAAGAGGCAGCTAATCGATGTCTCTCTCTCATCGATGTTTCTAACTCTCTATTCTTCTCTCTTCCTCTCTGTAAAAAAAAAAATATATATATATATATGTGTGTGTGTGTGTGTGTGTGTGTGTGTGTGTGTATATATATATATATATATATATATATATATATATATATATATAAATATTTGTTTTTAAAAAGAAAAAAAGGAACTCAGCCCAGAACACATGCTGTGGTGGCACAGTGAGTCAGACATGCATAGGCACACCAGGTGAAAGGCCCTTTGCCCTGGAAAAGGCCGGGGAGCCAGTCAGCAACTTGGAGTCAAATTCCAGCGAAGCTTCTTTAGCCTATTTCCCCAGGAAGATCTCCAAGTTTTGTTCTTTGAAGAGAGCAGGGCATTTTGATTGCCCGAGAAGGGAGAGCTGGGTCCAGAAGTTGCAGACAATGTAGCAAAACTGTGAGGTGATCCACTGAATAAACACAGAGCTGAGAAGCATTGAGTAATGAAGTTACTCAATGGCTCTTGCGTTCATCTTTGGAGCTGGGATCTGTGGAAAAGGTCAGAAACCTGCTGTCCCAAATGGCTTCTGTATAAGCCACAGAGCCCTGGCCTATGAGGTTTTGGCCATTCAAAAGCAGGAGTCTGCCTGGATGAGACATGCTTTTCCGCCCCCATAGGGGACACAGAGGCTGGGACACAGCAGAAGTAATACCTGTGGAGTAACCACAACCCCAACTATGAACAGGGACAGTCTCGTTCAAACTCATACAATTCCTTTTGTCCTTCCTTACAATATACCGCTAAGAATAAAGTAACTGGCAGTAAGCGGCGGAGAGGAAGGGAAGATAAGAGGAACTGTGCCCACAGCAGCAGGCTGTGGGGACATGATCATTTGCTAGACAAACCATAGTGCATGGGAGAACGTGAGCTCAAACTGGTGTTCATACCACCCCAGTCCACCGGATCACAGCCCGCCATGCAGCCCACCGCAGAGGAGGCATGTCTCCTGCAGAGCCTGCCACACGAGGCAACACCTTCCCAAGCACAAACCTGCCTTCCCCTGGGGTTTCTATGGCCAGCGGTCAGCTCCACAGCGTCTCTCCCCTCGGAGGGCGCTTTTGGCACCCACAAATACTTCACTTCAAACGCACCGTCTTAAACATGGTATTAGCTTTTGGTTTGATCTTCCCAACTATTAATAGACTCCCTAATTTTATAGTTCACCATTTCCCGCAGACCGCCTGCCAGTTAACATTTGGCTTTACATTGTATGTGACCACAGACATAAATGTAGAATGCTGCATTTACTTCCTTCAAAAACCCAAAGTTAGCCCGGCTGGTGGGTTCAGTGGTTGAGCATCAACCTAGGAACCAGGTCTCCGTTTTGATTCACAGTCAGGGCATATGTCTGAGTTGCAGGTTCAATCCCTGATTCTCTCACATCATTGATGTTTGTTTGTTTTTAATTGTTAAAAATGTTTTTATTTCAGAGAGGAAGGGAGAGGGAGAAAGATAGAAACATCAATAATGAGGATCATTAATTGGCTGCCTCCTGCATACCCCCCTCTGGGATCGAGCCAATAATCCAAGCATGTGCCCTGATCAAAACTGAACCACGACCTCCTGGTTCTTGGGCTGATGCTCAACCACTGAGCCACGGTGGCTGGGCACCATCATTAATGTTTCTCCCTCCCTCCCTCCCTATTTGAAAGAAATAAAAACAATCTTAAAAAAAAGCAACCAAAAAACCCCAATGTTAAAAAAGGAAATGGGAAAGTATTAAGCAGGAAAATAAACCCACTGAACTAAAAGCAAACATGTATAAAGACACAGAAAAAAGAGTGCTATTTTATTCATTTAGATTTTTATTTTGAACGCTTCAATCAAAAAAAATTTCATAGTTATTTACAGTGCTGAATGTACAATTATGAATGTATGCCTTTTTGACATCAGGGTACCATTCTTGAGCAGCAATATAATTTTAAAAATATAAAGATGCAATATCATTTCTGATATAAAGTTTCTTAAAAAAATTCCAAAGTCTTAGGGAATTAACAAATCATAACAGGAAGTTAACTATTTTATTAATTTAATGTGCACATAATTACCAAATTTTAATACATTAAAAAATATGTGTAAATACCCAGACTGTACAAAAATTAACATCCCATATTTTGTTAAAAGTTCCCAACCACCTCCCACCATAAATATACAAAATATGTCAAAATTACATGCAAGAAATCTTAGAACATTTCCTAACGCTTGAATTTTGCTCTTCTCTGAACAGTGTATGTATAGCTGTTTTGGAAACAGAATATATAAACACTGATATTTTTACCATGCCTTTGAAACTGTGCAGTATTTTCATAAACAGGGGTAACAAAATAAATACAGTAAAAACTGCAACAGTTCTGTTTAAATGCAAGTGCAATTTGGAAAGCTCTCAAATGCAAGGATTATAAAACTAATATAAAAGTATTCATTTTGTTGTTGGCTTAGCCACTTTTACTCAAGCATTATTTGCAGCAATGCCTTACAGCAGTTGGTGCTAGAAGATACAAAACAGTCACCACTATTTATATTTGAGGGAGGGAAAAAAAACTTTAAACAACCCTGAGGGAGACACACATTAAAAATCTTGTTATTTATTTAAAAAGTTAAAAAGTTACATATCATTATTTAACAATTATTTTCCCGACATTTCTGTCCTTAAGTATGTGCATAAATAAAATTTAAAGCGGCAATATTAATCTTAAATCAAAATAATATATGTACAGATTTTAAAATTTCGGTCTGTATACACTCAAATAATTTAATGTGAAATTAAGAATCAAAATTACTACGTAATGGTGACCTACAGAGAGAGAAGTCTATCTATGGCACTGAGTAGGACCCACACCTATATTCACAAACATTCCTCAAATAATATTTCTGGAAGCTCAATTACAACTTGAACAACCCACTTAGTCTATGTTCAAATCTAACTTCCTACAAATGCTTTTCCACCTACCAAAAACCTTATTCCTTTGAAAGCAATATAGACAGATGAGATATAAAACCCTTATACTATCTAAATATTAAAAAAAGGGAGGGTGTAAAAAATATAGCTCTTTATGATCATGCTCTTAAAGATGTTAAATACAATCTGATAATTGAGTTTTTTAAGCTGCTACTTAGCAATTACCTTAATTATACGCTTCAGAATTTAAATCAAATAATAAGATTTACAATTCTGGGAAAATCACTGACGAATAACACTTATACATGTTGAAAATAAATGTGGAAATTATAAAACAATCAAGAGAATAAGTAACTATAGAAAACAGTGCTAATTCACAGCTCAAGAGGTCTAAGATGCATAGCTTCATAGAATCATCCATGGAACAATTGTTTTATCATCTAATGTGTAGTAATAGCGTACTATGTTTTTTGATGGAACTTTTTTAGTGTATGTGAGGATCATCGGTGGCAATAGCAATAACAGTGATCCTGAGTGTAACTTACATTTTTCTATAGTTACCAAACATCATTCATATCTCTGCACCACAAAAAAAAATGAGAATCATTTGATTCTACAGTTCTGGGTAACATTTGGTAAATTGGTAAGTACAGATCAGGAAAATAATGACCAGCTAGAAGTGAACAGTATACACATGCTATTGGTTAAGGAAGAACACAGGATAATATCACATACTTTTAGAAGTTTAGTGTCCATTTTACAACAGTATCAGTTTCCTTGTTTATCCATAACTGTGGGCTTTGTCAAACTACTGGATCTTACCTATAAAGGCATTTTTAAAGTTACTTTTATTTTGTTTAGAATTTAAGCTTTAACTAGGCAAAACAGAAAAGTGAAAAATATTATTCACATTTCTTTTGATTCAATTAATGTCTATTCTTTAACTTTATTTCCATTTTTCTTTTCTCCCAGAAAATGCCATCACCAAAATATGTTCATTTGTAAACATCCAATCCAAAATAAACTCTGATCTCTAGTGCCACCTAATGGCATAAAACAAACTCTCGCCAAGTTCATTCTGCTTTGAACAAATTCAGCAGTTGTTCAAAATCGCTCATTTTTTAAGCCTTATTATTGATAGGATAGACATACATCAAATATTCAAGATTTTAGAAGGCAAAAATCTAACTAAAAAAAAAAAAGCTGCTCACTACTATACAATGTCTTTAGAAAATTAAAAAAGCAGAAAATAAAAGACATTTAAAATAATATAAAACTTGAGAGGGAGGAAAAAACAGATATGGAGAGATATCAAAAAGATAGATCCACATCTATTACCAAAAGAAATATTTTTCTTAATGAAAAAAGTTTACATTTAACTAAAGCAAATTACACTACTGACACCAGACAACACACAAACACATTGTTTTGAGGGACATCTCCAAAGACAGACAGTGAAGCACCTTGCTGATTAAAAAAATAAAACCCAGGCAGTTTGTGCAGAAAATATAAAATTGTAAGTGGAAATTACCTGAGTTGTTCTATAAGCAACACCATTAAACTTACTCCTAACTCTAGACTATCAAAGGAATCTGGTGAGTGTATATATAATTCTTTGGAAGAAATGTTGGAATCAAATGAAAACAGGCTTTTTAACTATTTTCACTAGAGGCTAATCATAGATTTAGGGCCTTTTCTAAGAGTTGTGAAAATAAATTTAAAGATGTAAACTAAGTCTCAAAGGCTAATGTCTAAAACCCTACCAAATACCTACTTTCTTCTATACCCTATATACCTATATATTAGTAAAGAGTATTACTGAGGGTAACAATCAAGAAAACTGTGGAAATACAATATTCAGAGTTACTGAAGAAAGAGGACTTCACAGATTGATTATTAATTTAGCTGGCATGCCAATCTTTTATTCTGGTTTCTTTTGTTTTTTAAAAAAGCTCTGAAATCACCTACTATATCAGAAAGAACACAGATTGAAATGATGCCATCTGACACACAGGATCAGAAAGTCCTAAATTACATTCTGTTCAATACTGCTACTAACATCCCACCAAGACTGATGCGCTGCTACGTAATGGTGATGATTTGACATGATCCATTTTCTTTAACTAAAGTTTTAGCTTCTGTTGTCGTCTGGGGTTTTGGTGGCCATTCTGGGTCAACCAAGAGCTCTTGAGCCAGATACATGTACTTTGCTTTCGGCATCTTCTTTCTACAGTCCAGGGCACAGGACAAGCAGCATTTCCCCCAGTAATCCACTGACTCCTAAGGAGATAAGGAAAAGAACACCCCCGTAGATTAAAGGCTGCTTCTTTTTAACAAGTTTGTTAAAGCAGAGTATGTCAACACAAAAAAATAAGAGGAAATGACTTTTAAGCATAAACAAATGAAAAAAACCCATGTAAAAATGTAAGCTTTCAATTATTTAGGAACATTTTTAAAAGTTAGATGTTTTAGTTATCAATGTAATATACTTTGTTTTATTTAGATTTATAGACCTAACCTCTTGTGTATATATAAATTTATTTTCCCATTTCTTTTTGTATAGATACATTTTAAAAATGACTTGCAGATCTGGATAACACAAAACTATTGCATCAAGAATTATTTTATTTAAACTATTCAGAAAGAGAAAATATTTTTAATATTCAATATGGAAACTCTCATCTTCTATCCCAAACTACTAGATCATTTTTGGAAGAAATATCATTGTTACTGTTAACATTACCTTTCAAAACATAAAAATGAAAATATTGTTAGGTCAAAATTAGAACTTAGATCATGTTTAACGTCATTCACTTTTTTTAAAGCCACATTTTCATTCATACAAAAACCATTTTATTTTATAATGATGGTTACCCTTGGTGCTCTACCTTTAAGAAAAGGTACATACAAAGCTATAAAGCAAGTACTATTTCTTAGTATTATTTCATTATAATGAAATAATAATTGAAATCCTTGATTAATCCGGATGTTTTTAATGACTGTGATCTTGAATAATTCTCAAAGAACAAAAAAGCAGAGTCCCTTGTTATTGTAAAAAAAATATAAACGCAGTAGAGGCCTCAGAATTAATCTTAACTGTAATTTGTGCTAAAGAAATGAAATAAACCCAGTTGACTGGGTGTTGTCACATGCACCAAAAGGTTGTCTGTTCCATTCCCAGTCAGAGTACATGCCCAGGTTATAGACTCAATCCCCAGTAGGGGCGTGTAGTAGCCAGCAGATCGATGTTTCTCTGTCACATTGATGCTTCTATCTTTTTCTTCTCCCTTCCTCTCTCTCTAAAATCAATACAAAATCTTTTTAAAAAATGAAATAAAAGTAAACTATATCAAGAACTAATTTTATCCACCTCTAAAGAATGATCAAGTTTTAATTATTTTGTCTTTTGTTTCTCCAAAGCAACAATCCCAGGTTGTTTTATTCTGCCATTAATACATAACCCAGTCTACAACTAGGTCTAATCTCAGTTGAAACAATCTCACCAAATGGAAGTATAATGTAACTGAGAGGAGCATTCTAAGGTTAACATCCAAAATATTTTCATGATCAAGAAAGGTAGATTTGTTATATGTGTTCTTAAACATGTTTCTACATTTGCCACTGGAGAACAGCAAAAATACTTTAATATGAAAACTCTTAAAATTTTTCTACATTTTGAATTGGTAGGTCCTCTTATTTTATTGAGACAACCACCAGGAACCTACTACTCTTTCCTTCTCCAAAACTGGTGGGCATGTGGCAGAACTAAGACCACTATCAATAATAACTGAGTGCTTTTAAAGGTCTGCTTACTTTATCAACAAAACACAGTAAGCTGCGCTGCTATAGAGAATTTATAGGCAAAAACTGTGTTAACAAGTAAGGTATACCATTCTGGGGTAGAGAGGAGGTAGCTTTTTGATTAGCCATCTAGCTAAAAAGAGCTATTACCATCACCTTAAAAGAAGCCCACAGATGGGTTCTTCAGTGACCCACACAACCAACACTTCCCTTCCAGGGTAGCCCGCACACAACAAACCTTATTTAATCTGAGGTGTGGGCTCACTACTTGGGTCTTTTTTCCAAGATGCTTAAAGTCTTCGATTTAGTTGCAGAAAAGACCATTGTTCCTAAATCAATCTGAAAGCTGTCACTTTTTATTTTATGGCATGTAGCACTTTTTAAAGGATCACGGGAAGAGATTAATGGTGAATGGTGATTGTAAGAAACAAACAGACAAAACAAAACAAAAAACCAGAAACATATAGGCTTTGTCTGTCCAGATGAGCCGGCAGGGTTGAAGGACAACGCAGAGCAGGCTGAGTTAAGAAAAGGCATAGCCAAGTGTATGCAAATGGAAGACACATACACATCTCTAAATCCACTGTTCCTCACCTGCAGAAAGTGGGCAAGCAATAAAATTAAAGGCAATTTCATTGCAAACAGAATCACAATTGAATTGTATTCTTTCTTTTTAAAATCCTCACCAGAGGATATGTTTATTGACTTTTTTTTCTTGAGAAAGAGTGAGAGCGAGAGAGCGAGAGCGAGATACAGATGTGAGAGAGAAACATCAACTGGTGCCACACCAATTGGGGTAGCGAACTTGCACTGTTTGGTGTACGGGACAACACTTCAACCAACTGGACCACCCAGCCAGGGCTGAATAGTATTCTTTTTACATTAACATGTATGTTTTTAAAAATCCTCGTGTCCCTATAAAAAGCAAGATACACTTGTTATAATTCACAAGAAACACTAGGGATACCCCCTCCACTGTAATTAAACACGTATTTTGTTCCTATGTCTTCACCTCCCCCAAACATCATATACAAAAATATATACTACAATATAAGCAAGAATAGATTTGTTAGTTTGCAAGCACAAACATAAAACACACATTCTCAAACACAATATAATACACCGGTAGAGAAAATAAAAGGTGTTACAGGCATGCTGGAATGAAAAATAAATCCAGAGAGAAGATGGTGGCAAGAGGAGAAAAGCAAGCACTGTGCAGCCAGAAAGCGAAGAGGGGAGCATCACAGGACTCAGAATGAGCACTCAGGTCTCAGAAGCAGGAGAACACATGAGCCTCAGCAACTAGAGCTTCTGGTTGGCTCCTGAAAGGAAACCTGGTTAATAACGACGTGTATCCCTCAAAAAAGGGAAAGAGGCTACCACAGACCAACAGAGAAACCACAAAGAACGTCCAATAAGTTCTACAGCTAAAATTCTCCTGCTTCTTAGACCATTACAGACTTCATTCTAGAACCCCAATGCCAGTTTAATCTTTGCAGTGTTTTTTGGAAATGTTTTCATGGGTAGCATGTAAAATGTAAAGCCAGGCTTGCAGGACATGTTATAATGGTACTATGATTTTCATAAAAGTCTTCTTCCATACCAATCCTGAATATAAAACAAATAAGGACAATGAGAATTAGCATTATAAATACATAAGCTCGAACAATATTCTAAGTGGCATAAAGACTATAGCTAACACTTGGATTTCCCCCCCAAAAATAAAAATATAAAGAGGCACAAATCCTCAGGCAGGATCAAACTATAATTCTAGTTCCACATCTACCACTAAGCAGCCACCAAGACACCAAGAGGCCATGCAGCACAGATCTTCTCAAACAGGGTAAAGCTGTAGAGATGACGGGACACTCCACTGAAATTTTTTCATTCAGTAGACAAGGATGAAGTTCAAAGGCATTTATTGAAGAACTAGAAGCCTGGAGCAGAGACTTTTGCACCAATGGGGTCCCTTGGACTGGCCTATGGGATCCGGCCAAAATCGGCTCTTCAACATCCCCTCAGGGCTCCCTGATTGTGAGAGGGTGGTTCTCGGGTGACACACCCTGGAATCAGGCTCCTTCCTCTCTGGTTCTGGGTGTATCACCCAAGTACAGCAGCCACCAAGTCACCACAGCTCGGCAGCTCCTGTGTTGAGTGTCTGCCCCCTGGTGGCCAGTGCATGTCACAGCTACCAGTTGGAGTGTCTGCCCCCTAGTGGGCATTGCGCATCATAGCTACCAGTGGGACAGTATGGTTGGATGGTTGCTTAGGCTTTTATATATATATATAGATAGACAGATAGATAGATAGATAGATACTTTTGCTTGAAAATCATGGTATATCAAGATTTTTGTTTTTTGGTCAGAGAATAAGTCTTAACATCTGAGAAATATTTAGCTACATAAAAGTTTTAACTTTGATTATTTGCATATGGTTTACTTAATCTGTTTTCAATTTTATTCAGGCCACCTAGCATCCAGAAGTAAAACAATCACTATAGGAAATAAATTAGTATTATGTAAAAATCCTTCCTGTATCTGAATTAGGTTAGCTGCATGAATGTTCAGTAGGCCAAGTAGAACACAGTATCTATTAAATAAAATGTGATACTTATTTTGTATTTAAAGACTAGATAGGAGCTATTTGACCTAGAAATAATATGGGCCTGGGTCCAAATAAATCTGAATCTGAATTCCAGTTCTAACACGGTTTCTTCATCTGTAAGAATTGAGAGAAACTAGACATTCCTATATCTCGAGATTGTCATAACAATTAGAATTTATACAAAATGCCTCATATGGTATCTACCATAAAAAGTAGTATTGACAGTAGCTATGGCTTGTCTCCATTTTGTCATATGATTGTTAATATTAGTTTATTCCTATATAACCCCATATAGGAGGCAATGTGGCATAGTGGGAAAACACTCCTCCTGAAATAAAAAACCATGGCTTCCACTCCCAGCTCTGCCATTTCATTAGATGCAAAATCTTGGCAAGTGGAATAAATGCTATTTCTCTATGTATAAAATGAAGTTAGAAATCCCTTAAAATTGGAAGGATCCTAGAAGTGTACAGCACCTTGTTAGATCATCAGATTTTTTTGACATGGTTACTAGAGATTTCCAGGTGAGGTTCTTGACTTTGCAATTTAAGTGTCTAAGATCTGAAGCCTAGTTGAGGTTCTCTAGCTTTCAGTCCAACTCAATGGTCTCTGGGTACATAGAGTAAAGAAGGAAAAGAAGAAAGAGAAATGTTCTTCCCTCGACATTAGTATAGAAGGTTAGGAGTTAGAGTGTGAGAAGACTTCATGGGATTCTCGGTAGAAAGTGCATATACAGAATGGACAAACGTGGAACCGGAGTTTGTGGTGAGGGACAATTATGGCAGCCACAGAAATCCTAGGTGTAGCTGGCACCCTCATCTTTACTTTCTTTTTCACTATGGCAGGTACTACTGACATCTTGGACTAGACATTCTGGGTTGAGGCCACAGGCCATTAGCCAGCCAGTCTCGCCCCTTAGTCAAACTCCCAGTTGAGGTTACAATTTGCATATTAGGCTTTTATTATATAGGATTGGCTCTTGAAAAGTCATAATATGAAGTGACACCACATTACACACACAAATGTCAGAAGACAAAAGTGTATCATTCTGTGGTGAGGTTATAAAAACTCTTTTTAAAGCCAATAATTTCTTTATCATGTTCATAGAAAATGAGGACTAAAATTCTTGTCTACTCAATGATTCTCAAACTGGTAAGCACACAGGACATGCAAGAACTACCTGCTCTAGACCACTCACTCTCTCTACCTTCACTCTTCCCTAAATGCTCCAGAGACAGGACTGCATGTGAGAGGCACAAACTCTTAAAAATAAGGGCAGATACTTATTAACAAATGTTTAAAAAATAGAGATGTAGCAAATGATAGAATTTTCTACCATTTAATTTTGGGTGAACAATGAAGCGAGATTTCCAATTAAATGGTTTACAGCTTTATGATACCAAATTTTGACTAAGTCAGGGTATAATTCCTCTTCAGAACCTGCATTTACTTCCTGTCAGTTGTAGATCTCTCTGGAGAAGCTGATAACTCACAGTAAATGTTTTCCTTGGTTTGAGCCTTACCAATACAAGTATCTCATATGAGAACTGATGATATGAACCAAAGTTAACCTCTGAAATAATGTAGTGAGTTAATCAAAAGAAATATAGACACAGGAGATTTAGCTAAAGGAATTGAGTCCCTAATGCCCACTACTAATGCATTACACTGCTTTGAGAAAAAGAAACTGAAGCTGATTCCAAACTCATCCCATCATTATAAAACTACTAGAGGCCCAGTGCATGAAATTCATGCATGGGTTGGGTCCTTAGGCCTAGCCAGTGATGAGGACTGATGGGGGCCTTCCAGCTGCGGGCCAGGGCCTTTCTTCGTTCCATAAAACCCCCAGGTGATCAGTGTACATCATAGCGAGTGATTGAACTCCTGGTTTCCCAGTCGAACTCCCGAGGGGACACTGTGCACATTAGCCATATATATATATCACTACTCATCATGAAACTTTAGAAAAATAAATAGCACTCTCCAGGACCTCTTATCAAAGGATCATGTGGTATTATTCTGGGCATCAAGCCTGCTAAATTACAAAATAAAACTCAGGAAGTTGCTACTTAAGTTAAAAAAAAAAAAAAAAAAAAAAAAACCTGAAAATAAGTGAATAGCCCAATTCAGCAATGCCAAGAAATCCTTTTGAACTCTATAAGTTTCCTTGCATGGCTCATGATGAGTAAAAGATTTAGATACAGAAATCTATAGTAAAATATTTAGAATACTTCATCCATCTACAAACAAAGGAGTAAGATAATGAGGAGGTGAGACTGCATCATTAAGTTCTCTATACCCAAAAAGCTGTAGAGCCCTGGCCGGTGTTACTCAGGGGTTAGAGCATCAAACCCCAGGTCCAAAGGGTCTCGTGTACCTGGTAAAAACATGTACCTGGGTTACAGGTTCCCGCCCTGCCCCCAGTGGGACATGTGGGAGGCAGCCAGTTGATGTGTTTCTCACGTCAATGTTTCTTTCTCTCCCTCCCTGCCTCTTTTCCACTCTCTCTGAAAAGCAATGGGAAAAAAATATCCTCAGGAGAAAATTAACCAAATAAACAAACAAACAAACTGTAGAGCTGTATGTAATTCAATGGCATAAGTTTAAAAAATAAGATTAACTTATATTTTCTATGAAAAAAACTATAGGTAAAAACCTTAACACCACGAAATGGGTTTATATCTCATTTTCTTTTTAACACAGTGCTTGCATTATCTTTCAAGCAATAAGTTATATAATGGGTCCAAAAGAATAAAAAATCCTAAGCCATGGTTTGTATAAAAATAAGCACTGCCTGAAAATTTTCTGAATGATGAGAGACATATGCTGAGAAAAGCCTAAAAGCCACCCAAAATTAAGATACAGTAACAATAAATCAGAAATAATTGCTGAAAGTTTTGACCTTTGGACTCTGATCCATTTAGAAATAATTCCCATTTCATAACTTTGTTTACATAAATCTCATTTAGCTTCTAATGAGACTCATGAAAACAAAAAACATAACATTTAAGCCAAATAGAAATGGAAAAATTAACTCTCACCACTGAGGACAAGACCTTTACATAAACACAAAGTAAGGATTGGAATGGAAAAAAGACTTATGAAATTTCTGAGGTCCTGAGAAGCCTGTAACAAAGGTTTGCCATGAATTTTCTAAGACTCCTTACAAAAAATGAAATGCCAGGCATAGGGAAAAAGGTTGAAGCAACACACAACAGAACATGAGACTACAGAATGCAGAGTACACAACTGAAAGAGTCTGGGTATACATGAAGAATTGAGAGCAAGTGCTGAGTTCCAACCTGTGCTGGCTGTGTGGTGGTGAAGCGATACTCTCCTTGTCTGTCTCGATTGAACACAACTTTCCAAAGGACCATGTCAAGGCAGAAGTTCTGAGAGATATTCCAGTGAGTTAAGAATTAAAAATGACTAAGTCATTCTTTATTAATGTGCACATTTAAAAAGGATCACACAATGCTGAATCATTAGTAAAAAAAACATGACTTGTTATATAGAGAATTTCAGTTAATATTGCAGACAAATAAATAAAAACATGAATTTTATGACAAATGCAAACCATCACAAAATTCTTGATAAAATGGGACCTCTAAATTTTTCATAAAACATGACTTTTATATGAATAGTCAGGCTCCCCATATTAAAATAATGCTTATAATCCAGTATTTTTCTTAACAGTGAGTTATTTCCATTGAATATTTACAATTAATTCTATATGTATCTGTATCTATATATGAATATGATTTTCAGAATCCAACACAAAGAATTCTTTTCATAGTGAACAAGAGTAAAACATTATGCCGGGACCGGTTTGGCTCAGTGGATAGAGCGTCGGCCTGGGGACTGAAATGTACAATGAATCAGAGTCCTAAGACCTCTAGAGGGAACTTAAAAGCAAATATCAAAGAGGAAGTTTCACTAATCAATGCTGAGACTGGGTAAATTCATAACGGTCATAACGGGTTCGATTCCGGTCAAGGGCATGTACCTTGGTTGCGGGCATATCCCCAGTAGGGGGTGTGCAAGAGGCAGCTGATCGATGACTCTCTCTCATCGATGTTTCTAACTCTCTATCTCTCTCCCTTCCTCTCTGTACAAAATCAATAAAATATATTTAAAAAAAAAAAAAAAAGAGTAAAACATTATGAGGGATGATGAAAGGATTCCCTAAAAAAAAAACTAAAAAAAAATCTGTTTTAAAAAGTATATATATCTTAAACATTTGAGTGAAAAGTTGAACTTACCCTTTAGAAAAAGAAAAGCTTTTAAAATACAATGTCTTGGTTGTGCTTTCTATTGTCCACACAATAGCAAACACACATCCCACTGGGCACTCTAAAAAGATCGGTGCCAGTACCATAAAATCCATGCTGCCAACTATGGTCCAAATTTAATATCTTTTAGAAAGACAACAAATTAAGCATAATTTCCAAGTCTAGAAATATCATTGAAGTATATAGTTCCAAATTACCTAATTTTAATTCAAAATCATGTCCTATGAAACCCTTAACTTAAAAATCACACCTGTTATCTCTTTCCATTTCATATGTTGCTACTGTAGAAGAGAATAGTAACAGTTTGGAGAACAGACAAAATTATATTAATAAATAGCAATGAGAACCCAGCAGTTTCTTTTATAAAAATGGATGTAAAGGCAATCCTAAAAGAAGAATAACTGTACAATGTACAATGAATCAGAGTCCTAAGACCTCTAGAGGGAACTTAAAAGCAAATATCAAAGAGGAAGTTTCACTAATCAATGCTGAGACTGGGTAAATTCATAACGGTCATTATTTTATACACTCAATAAACTCTTATTATTAACCCTTTGCACTCCGAACCATTCTGGACATTGGCTACCAGCTACTCGACGCTACTTTGCGGCGGAAACGTGCGTTGAATTAACTCAATTCCCCGTAATCACTAATAAACTGCAATGTCCCCTGAGAGGGGACATCCGAGTGATATGCTAGAATTCCGATGTCCCCTGAGAGGGGACAGTGGAGTGCAAAGGGTTAATATTTATGACTTTTCATGGAGAAAGTCCCCCTTCTTCCTTTTCTTCCTTAAATGGGAAATTTTACCACATATCACAGGACTCGGTGGTACCAACCCACTCTGATTTCTTGGTCACCAGTTTATAGGCTGCCTGATCACCAATCTCCACCCCCACCACACCCCACAACCCGTCCAATTTGGTGGTTTCCTCTTTATTGATGTGCCTCCTACCTTCCCCTGACAATTCTGAGCACCAATTTTCTTCCCTTTCTATCAATCACTAATTTTTGCTAGCTCACTGCTAATTTTCTACCTGTATGAGTACAGCTAAGTAATATCCCTTAATATGACTATTATCAGTTAATGGAAATATCAGAAGGCTAAAAAAAAATTTAACTAAAATGAAACTGAAACTTTGTAGGCTTCCATAATGCTACCTGTTCTCTTCCCCCATTACCATTAAATCACCAAGAATCCCAAAGCAGCAAGGTAGCCATTTGATTATCTGAAGTGCTTACCTCCACCAGGATAGATACAAGGGCATTTACAAGAACAATGATGAGCATAGTTATACGCCATTGATATGGTACACACACAATCTGTAAGACAAAAATTTTAAGTTAAAATTGTAGTATATATAATAGTTTATATTTATGGCATTACATAACTTAAGATCAATTTAATTCCTATTATGTACCAAGCAGCATCACATAGAATACCCACTCAATCCAGAGAAGCGCCACAAGGTGGATATTGTATCCACTTTTCAGATGATAAAACTCAGTGTAAATAACAAGGTTAAAAAAATATTGAAGTGCTGAGCTTAGTCAGATCTTCATCACTCAGATTGAATAGCTTAAGCCTTACTAGACCATAAATTTCTATTAAGACCCTATTTTTTAAAAATTTTATTGATTTCAGAGAGGGAGAGGGAGAGGGAGAGGGAGAGGGAGAGGGAGAGGGAGAAGGAGGAGAGAGAGGGAAAGAGAAACATCAATGTCAAATGCCCTTGACCAGAATCGAACCTGGAACCCCTCAGTCCGCAGACCAATGCTCTATCCACTAAGCCAAACCAGCTAGGGCTAATAAGTCCCTATTTTTAAAATAAAATCTTGTCTTTAAACAATGGAGCAGATACTGATCTAATAATAAAATATTTTTTACCTATACTGGCATAAAGACAAGTGAATAAAAGAACTATACAGATCAATTTAAGAAATACAATCTAAATTTTCACTTTAAAATCTGTAATTAATTTCTAAGGCCTAAAAAAAAGAAAAAAGAAAGAAAAAACCCATTTACACATTCATCCTCTAGTCAGCAAATATTCACTGAGTGAATATCCAAGATACTGTGCTAGGTGCTGAGGAGCGATCTAATATTTTATGAAAACATTTAAGACTCCAGCAAGAAGGGGTGAAGACTGCTATAGTAATCCAAACAAAAGGTGGCAGTAGCTTGAATTAAAGTGGTGGGCATGATAAGAAATATGTATTTGGTCTGTCCCTGGCTCATGACATTTAGCTCTTAAAACTCTTATAATTTCCTGAGTGATTGAGGTGATAGGGAGTGTCTTATACAGAACTTCTAAATCCCCTGAAATGCTTTTTGTTCTAATGAGGCTACTCTGGGTGGGCTACTGAAGAGCTTCAGGATGGGAATTGCCCACCAGAAAGATTTAAGCCATGATTAGAAGCTTGGAACTTTCAGCTCCACTTCCTCATCCTCCAGGAAAGAAAGAGGGGCTGGGCTGGAGACTGAATTAATTACTGATCATTCCTAGTGATGAAGCCTCCTTTAAAAAACAAAAGAAACCTAAACTAGAAGTTTTAGAGATATTCATGTGCTGGGAGAGTGGTAAATTCCAGCTCCACAGGGACAGAAGCTCTGTATTCTGGGTCTTTCCAGAAGACCTCTGCCTACATAACTCTTAATCCGGCTGATCATTTGTACCTTTTTATTATATTCTTTACTACAGACCCGGTGCGTGAAACTCGTGCATTGGTGTGTCCTTCAGCCCAGCCTGCATCCCCTCCAATCTGGGAACCCTCAAGGGATGTCCAACTGCCCATTTAGGCCCGATTCCACCTACATGGGTATCCCTCTCATAATCCATGACTACTGGCTCCCAACTGCTCACTTGCCTACCTGCCTGATTGCCCCTAACCACTTTTGCCTGCCAGCCTGATCACCCCCTAGTCATTCCCCTGCCAGCTTGATTGATGCCTAACTGTTCCTCTGCTGGGCCAATTGCCCCTAACTGCCCTCCCCTGCCAACATGGTCGCCCTCAACTGCAGGCCTGGTCACCCCTAACTGCCCTCCCCTGCCAATCTGATTGTCCTTAACTATCCTCCCCGGCAGGGCTGGTTCCACCCAACTGCCCTCCCCTGCAGGCCTGATTCCACCCAACTGCCCTCCCCTGCAGGCCTGATTCCACCCAACTGCCCTCCCCTGCAGGCCTGGTTCCACCCAACTGCCCTCCCCTGCAGGCCTACCTTCCCCCCCCCCCCACTCCTCTCCTCTGCAGACCTGGGTCCCTCCCAACTGTTCTCCCCTGCAGGCCAAGTCATCCCAACTGATTGCCCCTAACTGCCCTGCCCTGCTGGCCTGATTGCCCACAACTGCCCTCCCCTGCCGGCCATCTGTGGCAGTCATCTTATGTCCATATGGGGGCAGCCATCTTTGACCACATGGGGGCGGCCATTTTGTGTACTGAAGTGATGGTCAATTTGCATATTACTCTTTTATTAGATAAGATGGGGGCAGCCGTCTTTGATCACGTGGGGTGGTCATCTTGTGTGTTGGAATGACAGTCAATTTGCACATTACTCTTTTATTAGATAGGATAATAAATTAGTAAATGTAAGTGTTCCCCTAAGTTCTTGTAGCTGATAAAGCAAATTATGAAACCTCAAAAGGGGTTTGTAAGAACCAATTTATAGCTGGTTGGTCAGAAGTACAGGTGACAAGCTAGGATTTACAACTGGTGTCTGAAGTTGTATAGTCTTGTGTGGCGGAGCCCTTAACCTGCACTATCTCCAGGTGGTTAGTGTCAGAACTGAAATGCAAGATATCCAGTTGATGTCCAGAGAGCTGGAGAACTGATTGGTGTGGAACCACTCCAAAACATTTGGTGTCAAAAGTATTGTGAATAGAGGAAACAATAGTTTCTTTTTAGGTAACAAAAGGGGTTGGAATGAAAAGAGAAATATTCAGAATAAGAAAACTGAGAAAATCTATCAACAGACTGGCTATAAAAAGAAAAGAAAAGAAATAAATAAGGATACAAATACACACTTCTGACTTGGGTAAACAGTGGTACCAAGAAACAGAGACAAAGCAGAGCTGAGGAAGAAAATGATGAGCTTAGTTTAAATATGTTGATGGGTGAACCATGCACATAAATGAAATGGCCGGGAAACAGTCACTGCTGTTAAGATGATAAACTGTCAGTTTCTTCTAAGATAAATAACACAGTATTTATAAAAATTAAAATTCGAGATGCCCTTTGACCAAACAATTCCATTTCTGCACATTTAACCTCCAAATATGCAATTGTCCTTCTTAATGAAGTGCATAAGGATTTGCAATACAGCATAAGAATTTGCAATAGCAAAACACTGGAAACAACCTAAATACCCATTCAAAGGGGATTAAATTATGGAAAAGTTCACAAAGTGGAATACCATCCCATAAAGCTCATATAACTTTCATGCAAACCTCTCAATAACATACAACAAAGAAAAATTAAGTCTGATCTCACTCATGCAACCAGAAACAAAAATTCTAAACAAAATCATAGCAAACCAAATCCAGAAAGTATAAAAAAGAATGCATCATGACCAAATTGTCCTGAAGACAATGTTAGTTCAACATTTGAATACCAGTCAACTAACTACAATTTACTACATTCTCTAGGGAGAAAAACTATGTGATCACTTCAGTGGCTGTAGAAAAAGCATTAGGTAAAATCAATCATCTATTTATGGCAGCAACACTATAGAAGGAAGCTTCCACAACCTGATAAAACAGATATATACCAGAAACCCAGCCCACAATATATCCAATGATAAAATATTAAGAGCACTCCTTTTAGAGTCAGGGACATTACAGCATATCAGTACCATTAAAAGCAACATTAATAAGGTTAATGGACGTGAAAAATATATACAAAGCTAAGTACTGAAATGTCAGAAACAAAACAATTGTCATTATTTATAGATGATGACTATCTAAAATAGAAAAGCTCAGAGAGAATCTAAAAGTTTTTAGAATAAACTTTGACAAGGCTTCTGGATATGAGATGAATATACAAGACAATTGTTTATACCAGCATAAAATTAGAAAATATAATTTTAAATATATTTATCAAAGGAACAAAAATGATAATACCCCAAAAATAAATCTAACAAAAACTTGTATTAAAACCTTTAGGAAGGCCCTACCAGGGGTCCTCAAACTTTTTAAAGTGGGGGCCAGATCACGGTCCCTCAGAGAGCTGGAGGGCCGGACAATCTGAACTACTAATTCCTACTGTAACACCTCGGCTGCGCTCACTGCCCAAAAAACCTGGCGGGCCGGATCAGACTCCTCTGTGGGCCGCATGTGGCCCGTGGGCCGTAGTTTGAAGACCCCTGCGGCCTAGCCAATTTGACTCAATGGATAAAGTGTCGGCCTGCAGACTGAAGGGTCCTGGGTTCGATTCTAGTCAAGGGCACATGCCCAAGTTATCACATATATAGCCATGCACATTAGGAACTTCTAAAAATAAGAAAAAGACAACATCCTAATAGAAAAAAGTGGGTAAAAACATGAATAGGCATTTCACAAAGGAACTAAAAAGGGCCAAAATACATATGAAAAATGCTCAACCTCTTTAGTAACTTAAAATTAATAATTTGCAAATTAAAACCATCATGATATAACACTTTTACATCCACTAGACAAGTGTTTGTTGGCAATGATGTGTAACAATGGATTCTCATACACTGATGAAAGTATAAACTGATACAGTCACTTTGGAAAACAACTTGGCATTAACTGAGAAAGCTAAATTGTAAGTGCTCACAGAAAACAAAAAACAATGGATAAATGAATTATAGTATAATCCTATAGTGGAATACTATATAGCAGTGAAAATAAAATGCATGAATCTCAGAAATGATGCTAACAGGAAAAAGCAAGTCACAGAAAAATACAGATAGCAAGATACGATTTTCATAAAGTTCAAAAGCAAGCAAAACTATCTTTTATGACTTCATGCTTATATATCAAGTGTATAATAAAAAGCAACACAATGAAGTAAAAATTTAGAATAGTAATTCTCTCGGGGTGTTTAGACAAACTTACTGTCTTGATGATGCTACTTTTAGGTTTGATAATGGATTCACGGGTGTTATTTTTATTACTATTATGCATCACAAATTAAATGTGTGCATATTCTTTTGTATAAAAGTATTTCATCATACATAGTTTTTAATAAAAAAAAGTATGGAGAGTCCTAGCTGGTTTGGCTTAGAGGATAGAGCGTTGGCCTGTGGACTGAAGGGTTTCGGTTTCGATTGCAGTCAAGGGTACGTCCTATTAAGCGGTGTGCATGAAGCAGTTGATCAATGATTCTCTCTCACCATTGATATTTATATATCTCTTTCCCTCTCCCTTTATCTCTGACGTCAATAAGAATATATTTTTTTTAAAGTATGGAGAACTCAATCAATATTGAAGCAGCAGCAATGTGTGCAGACTATTCAATAAGTACATTGGACTGGGACATCTGTTTATAGAAATGGAATGCAAAGTGAAGAAACAGGAAAGAAAAATAAAATAGTAAGTAGAGTCAATAAAAGCTTCTGTTTTAATTATGTTTTTATTCTTTATAGGTTATCTTTGGGTTAATAAAACTGTATCTTAGAAAATTCAGAAAAAAGCAGTCCTGGAAAAAAGAAATGTAGACAGTTCAGTCTATTTCCCCAGTAACATAAAAGTAGAGGGATAGATTTTAAGCCATAGCAAACATCCAGAAGTCTCATTTGGCTGTGTAAACTTCATGTAATACTAATATGTCCATTTCTGTTACTATCCCAAGTACTATATCACTCCTCAGGCAACCAGTAATAGTTGATGTGCTTAAATTAAGCCTTACCTGAAGAGCCTGGTCAATAGGGGCAACTGGATGCAACATGATGAATAATATGAAAACATACAAAATAATCACAGACAAAACAAAAAGATCTGAAAAAGAAAGTAAAACAATTAAATTAGAAAGTTCCTTTATATAAAAAGACATATAACTGGTACACTGTGAATCCTATTAATTCTAAATTTGGATGTGAACACTGAATGTTGCTATTTAGGTTGATTAAGTATATAAAGTATGCTTAATATTACTTCCTAGAGTATAATACATTATTTAGGACCAAAGTATTCATTTATGTGATGTAAAAATAAACAGCATTTAAAAAACTAAGAGACAAACTGCCGGAAACCAATCATTGTCTAATAGAAAGAGGCTGGTCAACCTTGAAGCTCTGAAAGGTCAGAGCCAACCACTCCCTATCTAATTGAGACAATAGTAACTGAGGCAACTTCCCTATCTTATAATCATGTAAATCCTTACTATATGATAATCTGCTTATTACCTGCCTAAGAGCTATGAGTGTTTCCCAAAGCTGCTTAAGGGTAATGGGTGTATCCCATAGCAGCCTCAATAAAAGGGATAGCAAGAGCCTAGAGAGTCTTCCCACTAGAGGTTGACTCCTGCCTGGCCCCCCATTTGTCCCAAATTAACTCTTTTCTAGTCTCTCTCTTCATTTTAGTGTGTGGCCTCCTCCAGAAACCGGACCCTGAGTGGGCCCTAATCACGCGGGTCGTGTTAAGGGTTCCCACACAAACCTTTATGAAAATTTCTATTTCTCCCAAATAAAGAGCTACTTTGTAAGATAATCAAGCCAGTCATAACTCACAAATAAGAGACTAGACTATTTATGGCAAAACGAGATCATCATTTAAACATGTATGCAATGACAATTGTTGACTGTACTAGTAAAAATGCTGAATAACATTTATTTTCAATATTAAGTATGTTATAATCCTAAATAGAAGCATTCTAAGTTGAATGTAAGTATATTTCTGCTAGGTGAATAGACTATTTCACTATTTAAAAGTCACTATTTCACTGACTTATTCTGTGAAAATACTTCCACAGAAAATGATGGTTAAACCCTAGAAAGTGAGCTGATTTATTATGTTAAATGTGGGTTACCTCTATGGCTTGCTATGATAGCTAAGAATAATAAATCCCACCCAGAAGTACTTTGTATCACTTTCCCAACTTCAAAAATAAAACTTTCTGCTCATGGCCCTCTTGTTAACTGTGTGCTTAAATAATGAGGCATAGATAAGTTATTAGAGTCTGTTAAAAAAAGTGCTCTAAAAAATGCCAGTTGGAAGTACACAAACTAAAAAATAAATAAAAACATGAAAAAGGACAAAAATAAATGTCAGACTATACATGCCAAAGAAAAATGTGGAGATAGAAGTTTTGTTTCAATAAAGTAACAGCTCATATTAAATGTTTTTAAAATCCTATGCATTTTCACAAACAATAAGCAAAATATAGATCTGCAATCTAGTTCCTGGCATGTTGCAAGAAGAAAAAATTTACTCAGGCTCAGAAACTTTTTACATCCACCTCAATACTGCTTCTCAAATTTTCATGTCTTTCTCCTGGAGCAATCCCCTTTGATCACACCAATAAAACTCTGCCAAGATCTTGAAGCGAAGGAGAAAATAAATTGAATCTTTTCTCTGCTTAGCCAAGGGAGAAAAAGAGGCACTCATCAAAGGAATTTGACAGGAGAGGTGGGTGGCTGGCAGATTTACATATCTACCCAAAAGAAAAGACCAAGATGATTTCAACTAAGAATGGAAAGATCAGGTATTCATTTTAGAGAGGTAAGAGTTTTCAGTGGATTATGCTCTCAGCCCCTGGCTTCACCTGGCTTTGTAACTTTCTTAGTAATCCTATCGAAGTAATACTCTTCACCAGAAGATAGCTATTAAAACAAATTCTGTTGTGTGGTGATTAAGGGCCAGGGGAGAATGTTCCTTAAGTTAAAGATTAGATTGTTTTACATTCTGCCACAAAGGTATGTAAACACTAGCAAGTCATTCAGCATCAAATTGTTTTAACTAGAAAATGGGGATATAATGAGGAACCCATAAGAAAGAGTAGATTTAAGTATTTAAAATGTAATGTAACATGTAAACTCAATTTATTATTAAATATTAGAGGCCTGTTGCACAAAGAGAATATAGTGCAATAGGCCTTCCTTCCCTTGCTTCCAGCACCCGTTTTCCTCCAGCACCCAGGACCCAGGCCTTTGCTGCAGACTTCAATCAGTCTGCAGTCTTTGTCTTTGCTGCAGCCAGAGTGCCACTCCTGTAGATCCCTTTGCCTCCCGCCCCCAGGCCCTGCCCACCCTCCCTCTCATAGCAGGCATCCTGCCCCGCCCAGTCACTCAGAGCCTGGAGCTGCTGGATGGCCAGCATCTTTTTCCTTTTAATTTACATATTCCCTCCCCATTGCCTGGTGGACATAGTGGAGTGATGGTCAATTTGCATGTTTCTCTTTTATTAGTGAAATGTCCCAGTTTATAGCATCACAGATTTGTTAATGACTCCAAATCCTTTTGATAGAATATGACACCAAAGTAAGGCACCATAAAGGATTTCCTTCATAGTCTCCCCCCCCCCCTTTTTTTTTTTACTCAAAAACAAAACCTATATAGAGTAAAAAAGCCCACAAACCTTATGGCAGAAAAATGTGACTTTGGATGGAGAGCAGACGATGCAGTATGCAGATGTGTTATAGATTTGTACATTTGAAATCTGTATGGTTTTATTCACCCATGTCACCCCAATAAAGCAAATGAAAAATAAACAAAAAATTTTAATGCTATGGAAGAAAAGTCTTCAAGGCTCAAGTTTCCATTCTACTGGTCCCTTCTGCAGGCTGCAAAGGTGACAGAATTCCATGTGAACATTGACTATACCCATGTCAAAAATGAAGAACAGACAACTGTGTTGTCCAGACCACCCAGAAGGAAAGTGTAATACCCTCTGTTCCTACTTCTAATTGAAATTTCCTATAATGGGTTGTAAAAATAAAAGTTTCAGCCAGAAGTAATCGGTTGTGCAAACGAGGAACATTCAGAACTGGTGGCATTAGTTTTAAGCTTAGGATAGCAGCTACCAGGAGAAAACAACAGACAATAAACATCTAGATCACTAAGCTTATTCTATTTAGGGATATCTCTTTTACTTTGAAAAGACAATTTTAACTCTACTCTTCTTACATTATTTTTAAAGAAGGTAAGCAGTATGGGAATACCAAACTTACAATTCTTGTAGCAAGGTTGCCTGAAAGGTTTTCCTTTTGAAAAGGCAATTGCCACTATGAGGTACTGAAAACTGGAGATAAAAAACACTGTGGTATTTTCATAATTTTGTATATTATGTGGATCATCTTCGGTTTCATTGAACAAATGTGAGAAATTCCCATAAAGACTTCCCGTTGTATTACAAGCACTGAAACATACAAAAAAAATTTTATGTTACTAAACACAATACCAATTGCACAAAAGAAACCAATTTTACCTTACTTGCCTTGACTACCATAAAATAAATAGAAATAAGGTATATAGCAGAAGACCCAACAATATTGAGGTTAAGATATATAAAACAGGTAGAAGAACATTAAGGGTTTTTTCAATTTAGTCACATTTCAATCAATTGAAAAATTAGAAGAAACTTCATTACTTAATATGAAATTGGGGAGTAATTTTAGCATAGTAAAGGTAAAATGACTTTTGGTTCTCTACCATTTTTTAGCTATCACTAAGAAAATATTATTTCATTTCTGAGCCCATGTCCCAACCAGCAAGTGTGGACACCACCTGCTCATTCAAAAGGTTACTGTGGGATAGGGTGTGTATATGTCCAGCATAGCACTTGGCACTGAGGTGGCTGTCAATATTCTCCAGCTATGGCTCTCTCATCTCTACTTCCAGGTGAACAGGACTGGCAAACAAAGATAGAACTTAGTATAAGAAGTCCCCAATATCCATCACTAAAACATCAGCTATAATAAGCATTGTTAAATAGTAACAAAATCTACTACATTTGATGTTTCTCTCTCATCAATGTTTCTAACTATCCGTCTTCCCTCCTCTCTGTAAGAAATCAATAAAATATATTTATTTAAAAATCTGCTACGAATTTGGTAAAATTCTTGAGAACAACCCCATATCTATTCCTTTTCATATGCAGTGTTTTATTTTTATTTATTTATTTTAAATGTTTTTATTGATTTTTTTCAGAGAGGAAGGGAGAGAGAGAGAGCTAGAAATGTCGATGAGAGAGAAACATTGACCAGCTGCCTCTTGCACACCCCCTACCAGGGATGTGCCCGCAACAAATGTACATTTCCTTGACCGGAATCGAACCTGGGACCTTTCAGTCCGCAGACCGATGCTCTATCACTGAGCCAAACCGACTTTGGCTCATATGCAGTGTTTTAATTTACACACTAGAAGCCCAGTGCACAGATTCTGGCCTGAGGAGATTGGGCAAAACTGGTTCTCCAACATTCCCAGAGGGCTCCTGGATTTGAAGAGAGCGCAGGCCAGGCCAAGGGACCCCACTGGTACATGATCAGGGCCAGGGGAGGGACCATGGGAAGGCTCCAGGGCATGTCCAGCCCATCTTGCCCAATCCTGATCAGCCAGACCCCAGAAGCGAGCTAACCTATCAGTCGGAGCATTTCCCCTTGGTGGTCAGTGTGCATCACAGCAACTGGCTGAACGACCAGACACTTAAGAGTATTACGTTTTTATATATATAGATAAACAAAGAGTAATATTATGTTTCTAAAACTTTAAAGACAATCTCCCTCAATCAAGCAAAATAAATATGTGCATCTGAAAATTTAAATCTACAAAATTACCTTAATGAATAGCTTTTCTGTTTAATTAATTAAAATAGCATTGTCATTATTTGTGAACTGTAGAACACTCTATCCATAAACAAATAATACTTAAAAAAAAAAAAATAGCTTTTAAAATGCTATTTCCTAAAATGGGGTTAGAAAAGTTAGAAGCACCAACATTCTGAGTATATAAAAGGTCCAAGTAATTAATTTCAACTTTCTAATTTTACAGATAAGGAAAGCAAAGCTCAGTAGCAAATTAAGAAACTGGTCCAACGTCCCCACCTTCGTAGTGATTAAGATTTTGCCAGACTGTCTTCTTACACACAGAAGAAATTGTCATGATATAAAGTCATGAAATAAATTATTTAAGTGTTTAATTAAGCTGCATGCAAAAACCTCTACATATAAAAGCTTAAGCGACAGATCGACTGATTGACTGGTTGCTGTGACATACACTGACCACCAGGAAGCAGACACAGGCGCTCAACACAGGCGCTGCCCCCTGGTGGTCAGTGTGCTCCCACAGTGGGAGTGCCACTCAGCTCACCAAAGGGCACCAGAGGTGGGGTTCACAGCCGGCCACTACAGCCCAGAGACTACAGCGGAGCGGCAGTGAGCTTACCAAGCAGCAGCAGGTTCAGCGGGCCATTCAGTAGGCAGGAGCAGCAGGCGGTGTTGAATGGCCAGTTTCAACCCAATACCCACAGGTCATGACAAGGGGCCCCACTGGTGCATTAATCCGTGCACCAGGCATCTAGTTTTTATATAAAATTTTACTTATTTTTACATGCATGAATGTTACACACTTTTCATAGTCTTCTAAATGGACTAGTCAACTTACTCTGAATGTGGATGCCATGTTTCATACCAAGGTTGCTGCTTGACCCAAAAAAAACCCAAAGACTGAAATCCAATGCTGATGATGATCTGAGACAAAACGGAGAAGAGAAGGGCCCCCGATATGAGACCTGAAGGTGGTCTCTGTGCCACAAGTTCCTTCCAGGCAGGATTTAAACTCACTACATTAGAAGAAAAAGATGAAAGGTTTGTTGCTCAATCAATTTGACTCTATAAAATGCATAAACAAATTCATTTAGAAACTTAAAAAATTGTTTTTGTCAACTATTGTACAATTAAAATAAAATAATTTCTTCCTTATAAGACATTAACAAAAATTTGAAGCAAAATAAACAAAACAGTAACATTAAAAAAGGCTCTGATTGTTTATTAAGGTGTTATCCACTGTTAAGTCTCCCTTTTCTTTGTTTATAAATAATGTGTATAGTGAGACTATGTAAAACTCCTGTCCCTCATCAAACTTTTTTTGGGTTATTTTGAGAGAGAGAGACAGAGACAGAGAAAGACTTTGATAGGTCACCTCTTATGTGTGTCCTGATTGGGATGGAACCCACCACCTTTTTGTGGTGTACAGGACAATGTTCCAATCAACTGAACCACCCTGCCAGGGCTCATTCACTAATTTTTAGCATCCATTAAAGACTGTCTATGATGTTTTATGATAGAATTGTACACCTGAATATAATTTTATTAACCAATTCATCCCAATAAATTTCATAAAAATTAAAAAATGGGTCTAAATAAGTCATTCTCAATTAGCATGATTTTGCCCCTCCAGTATGTACATTTTTATTTGATTGAGTCAAGATCCTATTACCATTACTATTTTTTTTATTATTATTTTTGTTGTTGTTAATCCTCCTCACTCAAGGATATGTTTCTATTGATTTTTTTTTTTTTTTTTTTTTGAGAGAGTGGGAGGTGGAGAGACAGAGAAACATCAATGTGAGGGAGACACATTGATTGGTTGCCTCCTACATGCACCCCAACAAGGGCCAGGATCAAGCCTGCAACCAAGGTACATGACTTTGATCTGAATTGAATCCAGGACCCTTCAGTCCATGGGCCAATGCTCTATCCACTGAACCAAACTGGCTAGGGACATTATTTATTTTGATGTGAACATCACCAATACTGGGACAAACCGACATCTTGTGTCTCTTTCTATGATACTAGAGGCCCGGTGCATGAAATTTGTGTGGGGAAGAGGGGAGTGTTCCTCAGCCCAGCCTGCATCCTTTCCAATGTGGGACCCCGCAATCAGACATACCTCTCACAATCCTGGACTGCTGGTTCACAACTGCTTGCCTGCCTGCCTTCCTGATTGCCCCTAACTGCTTTTACCTGCCAGCCTAATCACCCCCTAAACACTCCTCTGCCAGCCTAATTGATGCCTAACTGCTCCCCTGCCAAACTGTTTGCCCCTAACTGCCCTCCCCTGCAGGCCTGGTTACCCCTAACTGCCCTCCCATATAGGCCTGCCCCCCAGACCCAACTGATCTCCCCTGCAGGCCTGGGTCCCCCTCAACTGCCCTTCCCTGTAGGCCTGGTTGCCCACCAACTGCCCTCCCCTGCTGAGCTGGTACCTCCCAACTGATCTCCCCTGCTGGCAATCTTGTGGTGGCCATCTTGTGTCCACATGGGGGCAGCCATCTTGTGTGATGGAATGATGGTCAATTTGCATATTACTCTTCTATTAAATAGGCTACCTAGAAGGACAGAGCAACCTGTATGTGATATTCCCACCAAGAATTTATAGCTTATCCCTAACCTGTTTGGCTCAGTGAATAGAGTGTCAGCCTTCAGACTGAAAAGTCCCGGGTTTGATTCTGGTCATGGTCATGTACCTTGGTTGCAGGCACATCCCCAGCAGGAGGTGTGCAGGAGGCAGCTGATCGATGTTTCTCTCTCATTAATGTTTCTAACTCTCTATTCCTCTCCCTTCCTCTCTGTAAAAAAAAAAATTAATAAAATATATATTTTTTAAAAAGAATTTAAAGCCTGAGTCTGACTAGAATATACTGCACAAAGCCATATAACTGGTATATCTTTTTTCATAAATATCAATATCAAGAGGCCCCCCCAAAAAAGGCTGATGTAAGTAATATTCCTGATTAAAGAAGACTAAGAGACAATAATTACATGAAGTTTGTGAGCCCTGATTAGACCTAGGCTACAGGACTAGGACAAAAAAGATAGGTATAAAAGGACATTGTTAGGCCATAGCTCGTTGCTCAGTGGATAGAGCGCCAGGAATCAAACCTGAAGGGTCCCAGGTTCGATTCTGGTCAAGGACACATGCCTGGGTAGTGGGCTCGATCCCAGTGTGAGGTATGCAGGGGGCAGCCAATGATTCTATCTCATCAATGATGTTTCTGTCTCCCTCTCCCTTCTCTCTGAAATCAATAAAAATATATTTTAAAAAATATGATTATGAAAGGGCATTGTTGGTACATATGACAAAACCTGAACATCTGCTGTGGATTAGATACTATTTTATCAATGCTAAATTTCATGATCTTTACAACTGTGTTTTATTATACAGTATAAGAGAATGGCTTTGTTTTTAGGCAATATGTACTAAAATATTCAGAGGGAAAGGGGCATAATAATACTAATTTATTCTCAAATATTTCAAAAAGGAGTGGAGAGAGAATAAAGTAAATAGGACAAAACATAAGCAACTTATAATAAAAGGCAATGTAACAGGAAATCTGGAGAGGTATGCAGTGTTACAATTGTCAATGTAAATTTACCAAAGTTTAACAAGTCACTAGAATTTCATAGGCTTTGAAATCACTAACAAAATACTCACTTGTAAATACCACTACCAAAATGATTGCCAGATCAATGAAGAGAAACTGGAAGTCTCCTAGGTTACTTAAGACCTACAGAAGTAATTTTTTAAAACATATTTAGTTTTCAGGAACAATTACCACTTTCCTCTGGGGTTTTAGTCCCCTCCCACCCCCAATGATTACTACTACGTGACACTTGGACCTGCTTGAAAAGTAAAATACATTTGCCTTTCAAATCAGTGAAATACAACATATTTGCAAACATTCAATTTAATATTTTAGTATAAAAGGCATCTCCTAACAATTCATTCAATAAAAATCTGTTAAAAGTTTTTTTGGCAAAAAGAAAACACAAACTTTTACTCACAATATTCAATATTCTTGAAAATTAGTATCTTGAAGCTTCCTTAATATCTAACAACATCCCTCCTGATACTTTCTACAAATGATAAAAAAGTATAGTTTCACAAAGACTCCTTGGGATGTCACCAATGTTCACTTAGAAATATATCTAAAGTGAGATCACTTCCAGAATAAAATCTGATAGAGTATTTATGTATACCACTGTTTAAGGTTTTTCTCCAAATTCATAATATCCTACAACTACTGCTGAAACCCCTTTTTTCATTCTGGCCCTTTCCTGTAACTGTATAGCAAAATTAACTACAATTCTGAAATATGTCACAGCTTATTTAGCATTTAGAAGGATTCTTAAAAAGATGTTCAATCTGTGCTCAAGGCAAAAAAGTATACAATTATCTTTTATTCACACAGTTCAACCACAGCTGCCAGCCTTAAGCTATTCCAGACTGATATTTTTCAATCTGCTACACAAAACATAGTAAAACTAAAGAAAAATTTATAACTGCTACTTATGTAAATTCCATAATTAATGCATGTACTCAAAATCAAACACATACGCTCATATCTTAATTTAAATGTCTTAACACTAAGTGCTAACTCTGTAAGCAATATTAGTACTCACGGAGTACAGTAGAGTAACACTGAAGTATTGTATAATGCTGTACAAAGCCATAAATTTAAACACACAGAAGGAAGTCATTAAAGCAGCACGGCCTTCCCTGTGAAAACAAATGTTGGCATGTGAATAAAGGCATTTCAAACTCCTCCTCCAAACCACAATTATATCTTGACAGATGAATATTAACATTCAAACGCTACAATGAAGCACACTTCTACCCAAAGAACTAAGCCAAAGCAGAATTGGAAGTGATGAGGAGTAATAATCAATCTGTTGCTAATAAATAATAGATCAAATATACCAAAAAACCATAAAACCAAATTCATATTACTTTCTGTAATAATTTTCCCCCCATATTATTAAAGCAAGCTACAAAGCGACAACAGGAAATTTTCCATTTGTCCTACCTGATGAGGTTTGGCACACAGGAAATACTAGGTGTTTTGGAGGTAAAGGGAGATGCCACTGAAGCCTCAAGCTCTGATAAAGAAATGCCTCCATGTGCCCTCTTTAGAGCCTAAAAGTTAGAAAAAGAAAACTGGTAACATTTTGTCAATGTGACTTAGGCTAGCAGGGATGGGGAACCTTTTTCTGTCAAGGGCCATTTGGGTATTTATAACATCATTTGAGGGCCATACAAAATAATCAACTTAAAAATTAGCCTGCTATTTTGGTCAAACGTTTCATTAACTCACTCCTAATGCTTTGGCAGGGCCAGACCAAATGATTTTGCAGGATTTACATGACCTGCGTGCCAGAAGTTCCCCATCCCTGGGCTAGAGAAAGAATTATAAATTACAGAAAGTATACTTACACCACAATCATTTGCACCATCACCACACATCCCAACAAAGTAACTGGAAAACAAAAATTATGTTAAGATTTTGATTAATTTCCTAAAAGACACAATAATTTAGATTTCGCTAATACCATATTATGGAGAGCTAATAAACCAAAATTCCCCCAGTGAAACAAAGGAATCTTTTCTTTACAATGATCACAGGCATACTGCTTTGTAACAGCCTGCTTGTCAAATAACCTGGGTATTGTCCTATTTCTGCCACAAGATGGACAAATCAGTTTATCATTTTAACATCTCAATTTCCTAATCTTTAGAGCAAAGTACTTTGGCTTGTATACTCTTGAGCACACTTACTTTTAATGCTATCAGTATAGAGTTCTCCCTTAAAAACTTGAAACATATTTATTTACCTAAACTATAAAGTACTTCCATCAAACTGAGATGAATGAACTCTACCTCATACATATGACCTAGAAAAGAAACTGTAGATATTTTACTTTAGCTGCAAGATCCTACATGAGCACATAAGCCTTTTTTAAATAGACATAGGGGTGTCGAACTCAATCAGAGAAGGGGCCAAAATCTAAAATCCAGCCTAAATTGCGGGCCGAATGGTTTACTGAACAGTCATAAACTGTCATTGTGATGGAAACGCAGCTGAGTACAGTGATGACAGCGCGGTGCGGGCCACATTGCAAGGCCTGGCGGGACGGATTTGGCCCGCGGGCCTTGTGTTTGACACATGTGCTTTAAGTTATTGCCTACCTACTTCCTAGGGGATAATATTATATATGAAACATTACTTTTCTAGGTTTGAAAATAAACTACAATTCACCAAATAAATAAATAAATAAATACCACCACACACCCCAATACTTACTCTACATTTTGCAATGCTTCTACTAATTGTGTCTTCTGATCAGGTGCCATACGAGCAAACACAGTGCCGTGCAACATCAACTGGAAAAAAAATATGAATTTCTTTAAAATACTGTTACAATGTATTTATGTGAACACATACATAAACCCAAATCACTAACCTTTGGAACAAGGTCTTGAAAATGCTCCAGTATCACTGAAAATGATTTTCCATTCATTGCAAAATGATAGCGAGACACCTGAAGATCCTCTAAGCTATCATGGACTGATTTAATTGGAATTGCCTGTGTATACAACATTCAAAATAATATTTAGAAAGCCAAACCACAGAACATTACTTATTTTAAATAATCTGATCAAAAACTAAATTTTGTCATTTGATATTTTACACAAGACATTGAAAGTTTAACATTTTTTTAAAACAAAGGGAGCCCTAACCAGTTTGGCTCAGTGGATAGATCATTGGCTTGTGGACTGAAAGGTCCCAGGTTCAATTCCGGTCAAGAGGATGTACCTTGGTTGCAGGCAGATTCCCAGTAGGAAGTGTGCAGGAGGCAGCTGATCGATGTTTCTCTCTCTTCCATGTTTCTGACTCTCTATCCCTTTCCCTTCCTTTCTGTAAAAAAATCAATAAAATATATATTTTTTTAAAAAGAAAGCAAAGGGAAAGTCAATTTTAAGGGGACGAACCTATCTATATGTTTTTTTTAAAAAAAAACACACACACATACAAAAACATAGAAAGGCTAAATTATCAGCTTTAATTTGAGACAATCCATGAACTTAATATTTTGGCCCACCTGCACCATTTATCATTATTTAAAATAGAATAAATCTTTGAGATTCTTATACTTTAATAAAAGTGTGCTTTTAAAGTTTGTGTAACTATCAAAATTTAAAGTATTGAGATCCTCGGTCTAATGAATCAGAAGCCCAGGTTTCGGTTTTCTGTTTACTTTTTGTTTTGTTCAATTTTAATACACATTTTAGTTTTTAGACTAAATTAAAACACAACAGCTTCAAAGAGAGTAATTCATTTTAACATTACCTCCGAGTCAATTGCTGATGAATTACTGCACTGTGTTAGACTGTCTGCATAATGCCAGTTTATTTTGGCAACTTTTCCATCCTTTGGAGGTAATGCTTCAGCAATAATAACTTTATCCTGAGGTAGTATCATCCCACAGTCTCTGGCCACAGAGACAGCAGTCAACATGTTGTCACCTAATTTTCAAAATATTAAAAACACATTAAAATTAAAACATAAATGGATTAAGCAACAAGTGCTTATTAAAAATCTACTATAGTTCCTACCACTGGACTGGGCAAAATGAAGATAATGTATGGTCTTTACTCTTAGAGTTTAAAAATAATAAAATCAGGACATACTTATCAAAGGAAGCTTTAAATAATGCAAGCACAGTCAGAACATTCTCATCCATAATTTTTAAAACCAAATACATTCTAAATCTTTATTTTAATCCTCACCTGAGGATATCTTTTTATTGTTTTGAGAAGGAGGGGAGAAGGAAAGGAGAGAGAGAGAAACATCGATATGAGAGAGAAACATCAATTGGTGCCTATTGTATTTGGCCTGAAGGAGGATAGAACCTGCAATCTAGGTACTATATGCCCTAACCTGGAATCAAGCCTACAACCTTTTGGTGCACGGGACAACATTTCAACCGAGCACCAAGCCACAGGGCCATCCTCAACCTTTGAGTCAGTCACTAGTAGCACCTGCCACGGTGCTACATACAGAGCAGGAGCTCAATAAATATTTTTTGAAACAACCTAGGAGTGACCAGTAATCTGTTTAAGAATACTAGAATAGTATCACAGGAAAGAATGAATTACAAAAGCAAGATTACACAAAACTAAAAGATAAGCAAGGTAGTAAGAATATAATCTTTACAAGATGTAAAGAGAAGCAAGACAGACAACTTCTCAGCCATGAGAAAAAAAAGCACAGCACTGTAAAGGATATGTTCAAGAGAAGAAAATACTGGCTTACAGGAGAAGCTGACAAAGGTCTTGAGAGCCCACTGCTATCAGAACTGAAGAGCAATATTACAGACCCCTTAGGACAACAAAGACATAGTCAGTCATTGTAGAGAAAAAGGGGAAAGAGATACAGAGATGGAAAATGTCTTGAAGCAGTTATTAAAACCAAGAATTGCTAGAAAGATAATAAAGTTAGTTACTTCAGTTGTATAGTAGTAACTATACTATCAGAGAATCTGAGTCTAAATCATAAAAAATGTGCTCAGGCCTTTACCATATAAGTCTTAATGAAAACATAAATGCCATAAAATAAGTACCTTAATTTTGATTACTTACTAACAAAAAAAACTAAGAGCTACCACAATTTCACACAGGTAAAGAATGGCATTTATCTATTGTCAAAAGTATAATAACACCAGGAGAATCATCCAGCTATAGTAGTAAAAGATAGCTTCAAAGAGAATAATTTCTCTTAAAAAAAAAAAAAGGCTATTTTCATTCTTACACTGTTTCAAGTGATTATATTAGGTCTAGTAATAATTAATGTCGTTTTCTAATACTTTTTAAAATCGAATTTATTTAAACAATACAACAAAATTTAATCAACAATATAGTTGCCGTTGTTTTCTACTACTTGTGCCCAATGCTCAGGAAGCATTTTAATCCCTCTGTTGTAAAATTCTTATGATTTTGATGCAAAAAATTCGGTCAATGCATTTTTGAGGCATTCTTCATTATTAAATTTTTTTCCAAGAAGAAAGTTTTGCAAAGAACGAAACAAATGGTAATCGGAAGGGGCAATATCAGGAGAATATGCAGGTTGAGTGAGAACTTCCCATTCCAACTGGCACAGTTTTTCAGCAGTGATTCTTGCAGTATGCGGTCGTGCGTTATCGTGGTGAAGAATTACGCCCTTCTGATTAATCAGCGCGGGTTCTTTTTCTCTTAAAGCTTGGGCTAACCTTTCCAATTGGGCACTATACACTGCACTTGTAATGGTTTGGGTAGATGGTAAAAGTTCATAATGAAGAATTCTGCCGAGACCGGTTTGGCTCAATGGCTAGAGCGTCGGCTTGGGGACTGAAGGGTCCCGGGTTCGATTCCGGTCAAGGGCATGTACCTTGGTTGCGGGCATATCCCCAGTAAGGGGTGTGCAAGAGGCAGCTGATCGGTGACTCTCTCTCATCGATGTTTCTAACTCTCTATCTTTCTCCCTTCCTCTCTGTACAAAATCAATAAAAATATATTTAAAAAAAAAAAAAAAAAAAAGTTCATAATGAAGAATTCCTTTAAAATTCTACCAAACACACAACATCACTTTTTTCGCATGCAAGTCAGGTTTTGGCGTGGGCTGCGGAGCCTCATTTTTGTCCAACCATTGAGGCCGCCTTTTCAAATTAACATACAGCACCCATTCTTCCTCTCCGGTAACAATTTGCTCTAAAAACGGCAAACGGTTTTGACGAGAGAGGAGCGAACTGCAAATTGTGACTCTTTGATTACGGTTGTTGTCGGTCAACTCATGAGGAACCCATTTTCCAAACTTTTGGACTTTGCCAAGTGCTCGCAATTGATTGGAAATTGTTTTTTGTGAACAATTTAAAGTTGTCGCAAGCTCTTGTTGGGTAATTTGAGGATTTTGCACCAAAAGAGCTTGAAGAGCTTCTTGATCAAAATTGGACACACGGCCTCGACCACTCTTGTTATCTAACAAAAAATTTCCCTCGCGAAATTTCTCAAACCAACGCTGGCATTTTCTGGCGCTAACTGCATCTTGACCAAGAGCACTACAGATGTTTTTTGCAGCCTCACTTGCTTTTCTTCCTAATTGGAACTCGTAAAGCATGCAGTGCCGAATATGCTCTTCATCTGCCATCTTCTTAGCCGTAGTTTTGCAACAAAAACCAAACCAAACACAAACTTTTTCAGGCAAAACTTGTTAATTGCACTTCACACGTTCTGTAGATACCACGTGTTTGAAGGTTATGTCAATACAAGTCAACGCCAAGCAAGATTTTAAACGAATGTTTAAAAACGACATTAATTATTACTAGACCCGATAAATGTACTATCTTATACATAAAATATAATTCTAGTGTGGCTCAATGGTTGAGCCATCAACCTATGAACCAGGAGATCATGGTTAGATTTCCCAGTGAAGGTACATGCTGGATTGCAAGCTCATTCTGGGTTGCGAGCTTGATCTCCAGTTGGGGGTCTCCAGGAGGCAACTGATCAATGATTCTCTCTCATCACTGATGCTTCTATCCCTCTCTCCTCCCTTCTGCTCTGAAATAAATAAAAATATATACTTTTAAAAATATAATTCTAACAGTATCTATTAACCATTTTCCATGCACGTGGCACAGTTCTGAAAATTGTAGAAAATTCCAAAATAACTAAAAGATATTCTTAACCCTAAAAAAAATCTCATATTCTAGTAAAGCAAACAAATGTACAAATATCTAACACAAAGCAAGGCACAATAGGTGCTATAAGAAATATATGATTAAAAGAGAGATAAAAAGAAGCAGAGTTTAAAATTTTAGTGTGCCCTTTATTATCCTACTATACTTTCTATCAACAGAATTTATTAGACTTCAAATGAATATTGTCAAGTTAACTTACAGCTTAAAAATATTCAGAGCTGAAATAGGGCAATGCAAAATGGAGACACAATATAATATGCTTTATAACCAACTGGTCATCTATAATATGTCAATACTAGGAGCCCGTTTGCAGGAAGATTCCTGCAAGTGACCACGTGTGGCCGATGCCCCCCCACCCCGCTTCACCCCTCTGGCAACCGCCTTGCTTTCTGCTTTTCCTCCCTCTTCCTTCTAAGCTGTCTTTAGTCTTCACTCCTCCCTCCCTCAGTGTATGCAAATTAACCGCCATCTTTGTTAGGTTAATTTGCATACCCATTTTAATTGGCTGTAGGTGTAGCGAAGGTACAGTCAATTAGCATTTTTCTCTTTTTTTAGTGTAGATATCTTGAACTCTAAGATCACACTCAAATTTTTCTGTGTAATTTTATAAAGTCTAACCTGTGACCATGACAGTGCGAATATTGGCTTTATGCAAATCTTCAAGTACTGCAGGGGTTTCTCGCTTTAATTTGTTCTGCATTATAATTAATCCCATAAAATCCATGTTGTTTTCAATGGCATCTCTGCAGAAAAAGAAATTTTAACACGTATAGTCAAGTAAACGGGCTATTTTCTTTATATTGATAAAGCAATTTAAAATATCAAAAATGATAAATTAAGACATTTTATAGGCAGAACAAAGCACATATGTGTATGTTTATGAATTCAGTATCTTAAAAAAAATTAAACCTGGAAAAACAATTCCTAAGAAATACACTGAAATTAAATTTTACCTTTTGAAATGCAGGACTATAAGGACCATTAGGAAATGTACAGTTAGTTGGCTCTCCATATCCCCAGGGGGGCCCTAGAACCAATCCCCACACAGGTATCCCCAGGGGGGCCCTAGAACCAATCCCTACACAGTATTCCTTTATAAGACACTACCAATGCATAGTGCTAAGGAATATTTATCTTGTATCCTACTCACCAAATGAGCAAGCATAAATAAACCTATTTTTTTACACATACAACATACCCTAACTTAAATGTTAAAAGAAAGGGGGAAAAACTGTCCATAAGCACATTTGATACAATTATAGTACATTCATTATCAAATTTTGTATGAATTTTTATAAAACTCTGTCAAAATCTTGATCCTTGACGTGGATGTAAGCAGCATTAGCAATCCAACAATGAGATCTACTTGGAATCCAGAGATGAGTCAAAAGTTAAAGATGCTATTCCTTCAAACAGTTATCTATAATGCACCAAGTACTACAGAAATTGCTGGGATGTCAAAGATAAAAAGGCAAGATATATACTCTTCAATATACTTTTGTGGGGAAACAGACATGTAAGCAAAGAGATGTATGCAAAACAAAAATAATATGCACTTCAGCACTATAATGCACAGGAAGTCTGTTCAGTGATAGTTGTGTTAAGAAATCTCAAGCTAGCCCTAGCCGATTTGGTTCAGTGGATAGAGCGTCGGCCTGTGGACTCAAGGGTCCCAGGTCCGATTCCAGTCAAGGGCATGTACCTTGGTTGCAGGCACATCGCCACTAGGGGGTGTGCAGGAGTCAGCTGATCGAGGTTTCTCTCATCGATATTTCTAACTATCTCTCTCCCTTCCTCTCTGTGAAGAATCAATAAAATATATATTTTTTAAAATCTCAAGCTAAATCAGGGAAATTTTTTTCTTCAATAGAGAAAGGGGGCTTGAGGTTAGGGACCAAAATTTCACACTTGCAATAACCAAATGGTTTTTCTACCCAAAATTCAACAATTATAGGCCCTTTCCATAGCTATTCAATATAAACCTAAATATCTTTGAAACATAATTTAGAACAAGGAGTGTTAAAGGTATTAAAGAATAGTTAGAAAAGTTACTACAAATGATATTGCTGGTGATAATAGGAGAAACAAGCCTTGAAACCTGAAAATGCTTTTCAAAACACAAAGCTCTACAAATGTGAAACTACTGGATCAAGAACACTGCAGCCATTTTCCTACAAGATACTAGTCATTTCTGACTTCAAATGGTTTCCTAACTTTCCTATGATACAGGTCATAGAAATTTTGGCCTCTAATTGATCAATACTACAATATTTAATTCAAGATATAAAGATTCAATCTGTTAGAGAAATGCCAACATCTATTCCCAGAAGGCAGAATGGACACACAAAGAAGGCTGAAGGATGAGAATGAAGGGAAGCAGAAAAGGGGGGTGGGGGGGGAGAAGTTGATAGAGAGGAATAGGGTATTCTGGGCAGAAGAAATAGCCCATCCAAGAGCATGGAAGGATGTTTGAATAAAACAGGCTCAAGAACAGTTAGTCCTTAGGAGGGAACTGGCAAAAGGTGAAGGTGTAGAGAGAAAGAAAGAGCCTAATATGCCCTTCACAGGAATCTATATAATATTTTACATTTTGGATCCCAATCATGTATATGCATCATATAATTTGGTTATCACTTTTTTTTATCACCAGTTGTCAACAGCACTTTATTTTTTTCTCTCCAAATCCTGTTCTGTGGCTTCATTGGCTCTTTTTGCCTGGATGCCCAAGAGCTGGGAATTGGCACGGGCCATGCGAAGACTGGCAAAAGCCTTGAAGTTCTTCTCCTCCCTCTGTGATGACCCTGGCTTTCTCCTTCTTGCAGACATTCCGTATGGGCATGACTGGTCCGGTCAGCGGGGTAGCCAGTTTGAGTTCTTCACAGAACTGTCTCCCTTCCTGGGGAAGAGTGTGAGCTTGGAGTGGTACTCCTTCAGTCTCTGCGTGCTGGCCTGCAGGTACTCGGTGACTTGTTCCGCCGCCTCAGAGCCACTGAGATCCCAATGGTCCAGGCCACCTTTTTGTGGATGCCAGCCACCCTTAACTCTTCCAAGCTGAAGGCCCTGCCAGCTCAGTTCACACTCCGGTGTGGGTACCAAACAGTGGGGCATCTCACTATGGGTGGGATGGGTCTGGACGCAGGTTAAACCACGTGGCAACTGCCGCTGCCAGTCCTTATGGAAGTGGGGCTTTAGGATCCTGTCATTTCGGCTGGGCACCACAGCTACAGAGGCCTTCTTGGAAGAAAGCAGAAAGCAGAAAGCAGAAAGCAGAAAGCCACTTTTTTTTTTTTAAAGATTCATGCTTAGACCATATCTCTCAAAAGAACTTCAAGGCTTTTCCCAGTCTTCGCATGGCCCGTGCCAATTCCCAGCTCTTTGGCATCCAGGCAAAAAGAGCCAATGAAGCCACAGAATAGGATGTTGGAAAGAAAAATAGAATTTTGTAGTTAGAATTCATAATGTAGTTTTTCCTTTTAGTTAATTTGCCTATTCACTCTACTTCTTTAGTTGTCTCTCAGAAAACACAATTGTACTACCAACACTTTTTACTTAATGTGCCTGAAATAATTAGACATTCTAATAGTCCATAATTTAACTATTGCCCTATACTGGTTCCACAACCATCAAATCTCACAGAACTGGACAGTGCTATTCATTAGCCATGGTGTCAGATTACCGCATCACCTTTCAACATCTTATGGACTCAATGTCAAGAAGAACTGCAGCAGTATTGAAGGCAAAAGGTGGCCCAACGAAGTACTGATGGTGTGATCATAATAATCTGGCCACTCAGTGTATATGATATATAAAAGCCTAAGCACCCTTTATGACCAAATGATGGAAATTAATAGTTGACCAGTCGCTATGATGTGCACTGGCCACCAGGGGGCAGACGCTCAATGAAGGAGCTACCCCCTGATGATCAGTGCACTCCCACAGGAGCACTGCTCAGCCAGAAGCCAGGCTTCTGCCTGGCTTCCTGCCACTGGCACACTGCTACATCCCCTGAGGGGTCCTGGATTGCAAGAGGGCAAAAGCCAGGCTGAGGAGCCCCTCTCCCATCGCCATGCACGAATCTGTGAACTGAGCTTCTAGTGTTGTTATAATTTTCTCAAACCTTCACTAACATTAGTTATTATCAATCTTTCCAATTTTGTCAATCTTAGAAGAAAAGTGGTGTCATAGTGTGGTTTTATTTTGTAGTTCCCCAAGAACTGAAGTGTCCTATCATTTTCATGTGTTCACTGGGCATTTGTATGTTGTTGTTTTATCTCTGATATTTATCTGTTTGTATCATTTGCCAATTTAAAAGATTATGTGTTTTGTTTTCCTTCCTGATGTATTTCTCTGATTGTGAACTCCTCCAATTGGCCATTTATAAGAATTCCAGGTAGGATTCTGATATTAGATCTGAATGTTAAAAAGCTCTCTCTGGCCGAAACCGGTTTGGCTCAGTGGTAGAGTGTCGGTCTGTGGACTGAAGGGTCCCAAGTTCGATTCCGGTCGGGAGCATGTACATTGGTTGCGGGCACATCCCCGGTAGGGGGTGTGCAGGAGGCAGCTGGTTGATGTTTCTCTCTCATCGACGTTTCTAGCTCTCTATCTCTCTCCCTTCCTCTCTGTAAAAAAATCAATAAAATATATTAAAAAAAAAAAAAAAAAGGCTCTCTCTGAAGGCAGTGTGGAACACAGACTGCAGAAAAGAAAGATTAGGAAAAAGAGCTGAGTCCTTGAATTAGAGATAATGGCTGTGGGAATGGAGGAAGAAAAAGCTATTTCATAGGCAAAATTATCAGGACAGCTAATGGATATACGTTTCTGCTAGCTTACAAATGTTATCCTTAAAGGGAAGGTCTATATCAGTTTCAGTTAAAGAGACAATCCTTGAAGGTAAAATCCATATCTATACCGGACGTAAATGTGATGTTGGTAATACCATTTGAACTTTGGGGTAGATAGCCGTTTATTGTGACTCATGATACTGACTAAATAAGTACTTGGTTCCAACCACTAGGAAAAAGCAAACATCATTTGGGAAAAATTAACTTCTGTAGAATTAGGTTTACTAAAACATGATTATGTTCCTAAAACATGCCTGACATGTAGCAGGAACTCAATAAATATTTAACAAATAAATTAAAAATAGTTCCAAAAAGCTGTATTAATCAACTAAAAAAAGAAAACCATATTATGTATATTTGCATACATTTAATAAATACTTAATAAACACCCAACTACAAACAATTTATTATATGTGACATATAAACACAAATGATGCATCATTGGAAAAACTGTAGCAATATTATTAAACAATCTTACCTGCTAATGTTCTGTACTTTATGCCATGTCAGCTTTGACTCCAATTTTCTGTGTGCAAGAGCAATTACACGGAAGCCCTGTTTAGTGTAATCTTCTAAAACATTTTCAAAATCAAGAGGAACTTTAAAAGGAAAAAATAAGTATCATTGTTAGAATTGCTAATACAAGCCTATATAAATATCAGAATTTTATTCAAATAAAGTTGGTTCCTTACTTGTTTCAGGTTTACAAAGACTGGCAATGACCTCAGGTGCTCCTTTCATGTAGGCATCCATTTTTTTATCCCCAAGCACCCTTGCAACCACACTCATACGTTGCAAAGCAGAAGAAAATGGGAACTGGCGAACAATTCCTATCTCATAAATAGCCTGTATAATTTCAAAAGATGCACGAAGTATTTATTATTCTTTTCTTAAAGAATTTGATTTAATTCTTATTAAAACAAATATACTTAGGTATAAAGTAAATATTCTTTACTCACTGGAAGTTCAAACAGCTCCTAAAAACAAAACAAACAAAAACATAAATAGTACAGATTAAGTCCTTAGGATAAAAAACAACTACGATATGTATCCCCAAAACAGCAAGAAATTTTGATTATTTCAAAGTTATGTTGCGAGATTGCTTCTACCCTACCCCCCATATTTAAAAAGCATATTACTGAATACTTTCAAATATTCTATCCTAAATATATTAACATATTAAATACAAAAATAAACTGAGGGGACAAATTTAAAACTTCACTTCTCACATATTCTTTTATTAAATTCTAAGAATACAGTTGCATTTTAAGGAATTATTCACCATATCATCACATTATCTCAATCACAGGGCACTGAGCTATTCAGTAAATAGGAAGGAAAAGTAATAGTACTGAGAAATATATCTCAGTGTTTACAAAGAATATCCGCAATATCCCAACAATAATTTCCAATAAACAGTTAAAATATTCATATCTGTATAGGAGTTAAAGGATGTGATTTCATCTTCTACTTATATTTCTAAGTGAGGAATGAATGTGGGCATCAACAGTGTAATCCAGCTTAAAGTGGTTTCGTACCATTTCCTGGTCTCCTGCAGGTGTAGATTCGGGAAGTAGTTGTTTTGGAGGGCGAACCACAGTTGGCATAATTCGATTATGAAGTGCTGTTTCCTCTTCAGTTGCTTCTTCCAGAATCTAAAAGGAAAACATTCAACATATTGCTTTATAAAATTAAATCTGCTGACTTCATCCTATCTAATAAAGAGGGAATATGCTAATTGACCCTCATACCGTTACAAAGATGGCAGCACCCAATGCCTCCCCTGCAGGCCTAGGTCCCCCCCAACTGCCCTTCTCTGCTGGCCCAGTCACCCTTAACTGCCTTCCCTGCCAGCCTGATTGCTCACAACTGCCCTCCTCTGCTGGCCTGGTCACCCCTAACTACCTACAACTGCCCTCTGCTGCAGGCCATCTTGTGGCAGCCATATTGTGTCCACATGGGGGCAACCATTTGTGTCACGGTCAACTTGCATATTACCTATTTATTATATAGGATATGCAACTACTATCAACATGTATAATGCAAACTGAAAGCATGAAAAAAGAATAAGGGTAGGGAAGAAAAACCAAAAACAATACTGACTCACAGAAAATAAATTATCCAGAGTCAGAAGGAAACTTTAAAATCAAAACTATTATTGCATCTATAATATGAACTGAATGCTTTGAAATGGTTAACAACCAAAGAACATAAGCAAACACATAGAAATCAAATTATCAATGGCTGCCCTGGCTGGTGTGGCATATGGTTGAGCATCATCCCATGCATCAAGAGGTTGTCTGTTTAATTCTCAGTCAGGGCACATGCCCAGACTGCAGGCTCAATCACCAGCAGGGGGCATGCCAGAAACAGCCTATCAATGTTTCTCTCTCCCTCTAAAATCAATAAGAACATATTTTTTTTAAAAATTAAATTATCAATAGCAAAACATTTAGAAGGAACAAACGCAAACCTTCATGTGTAGTAAGGACACAGAAAAGAGAACATGGATAAAAAGACCACCAAAAACACATCACTACTCATCCTTTTTATCTAACCAACAAACTGTGATGCTGAAGATCATCTTACTGACCCAGGCTTACTGCCCCAAGTTACTGAGAGCAGATATTCATTAAACACAAAAGAAGGGATCTGAGCAGGTTGTCTCTATTAAAGGTGTTTAAGTGAGTCAATATAACTAAAACAGACGTTTTTTTTTTTATTATAATGATCTCTCTCCTGTGATATATCTTTAGAAATTACATCTTTTCTTTCATGGTACAAGACAGGCTATCATCAAAACAACCTGCAGAAACAATCCTTCTACAAAGTAATTTTTACTCTATTTTTCTGAAGTTACTTGTACTTTAAAATATTAAACTTACCCATCCGATGGCTTCAAACATTTTCAAATCAAGTGGATCACCAGAAAGCACTCCTTCAATTTTTGTGAGTGAATGGCAAGTAGCCATACAAGCAACAAACTGAGACTTTACCAACATCTCATTGCAAACATTTTCTTCTGGCAAAAGAAAACTAAATAGATAATATACTGAATTAGATTTATAAATTCCAAGACTCGAGATAATATTCTAACAATATTCAGGTTTTGTCATTTTAAAAATGGAAATAAAATGTTTGCATTTCTGCATATTTTTAACTACAGTTTGAGAATTCAAAAACATTTCCTTCCATGAAAATTATACATGACTGAAATATGGTATTACCTTACATTCTAAATAACTAGGCCAGACATAACACTTTAGAAAACACTAGACACTAAATGATAATTAAAATTCCTGCCTATGGACATATGGCAGATTAGAATACATAAAAACTCTCTTACAAAAACATGAAATGAATGTGTAAAACATAATCCTTTAAATGCAAAACTGAGCTCACTAAAAAAAGAAAGGAAAAATTTAAGTGCCAGAAATAGGAGGAAAGGAAAACAGGAGGGGTATGAACTTGAGCAGATGCTGTGACTACCTGGAAAAGAAGGAAGAAGGGAGGGGAGCCCTCTTAGGAAGCCATCTAACAACTTCAGCTTTAATACACACACAGGAACAGGAGACAAAGTAAGGACTTGAAACTAAGATAGTCAGCACTCTTCATCAGCTACATCCCTAGAAAACAGTATGCTAGAAAAAAATTTACCCACAGACCCAACGGCATAACTAAGAATAAGCTTATCTCTCCCTACCTCCTAACCCCTGCCTTAATTTCAAGACATACCTAATATCTATACATTTACTCTACACTAGGCACTGTTCTAAAAACTTTGAATATATTTTGATTCATCTCATCCTCATACTATGAGGTGCTTTATTATCCCCATTTTAGAGATGAAAAAAACTGAAGCAGAATGCTTAAGTAACTTGCCAAGGTTACCCAGCATTTAGGTGATAACAAGGATTCAACCACAGGTTTCAGGGCCTAAACTCTGAACCACTGCTCTACTCACGATGGGATTTGGATTTGAATATATGTCACTGACTGGTCCGAAAATTTCCCAAGTTATGAAAATAACATTAAAGTTTGTCTGGTACCACTGATACCACTCTTAGCCATTCTCTTGGCCATGCAAGGTCAAAGCTCTCTAGAAAAAGAGTTTCCACAACACAGACACAAAGAAAAGAGTCTCATAGAAAAATCCTGCTAAAGTTGAATTCATAATTTAAAAGTGCACCAGGAAACAATTCTCACTAGTCAACAGACACAAAAAAAGACAAAATTAGAATCCCACAAATTTCAGATAATAGAATGGCAATCTAAAAAATGCAAAAAGGCATTTTAAATTAAAGACTTGGAAAAAAAACAAGACACCATGTGAGGAGAAGAGGAGAAGCAGATATGGAAAGAACCAAATGAAATTTTTTGTCCAACATATGGTTAGAATTTCCATGTGAAGAGAAAATGAAAATAAGAATGTGGGAAAGGCCATAATGGAACAGAAAGAAAAACTTCCTTAATTTATGAAAAACCTAAGTCCAAAATGAGGCCTGCACAAATAAAAAGATAGTGAAACTACAAAAATCAAACATAAAAACAAATAAAAATGATAGTGAAACTACAGAAATCAAACATAAAACAAAAGAAAAAAAATATTATTAAAGAGACCTGGTAAGACTTCTCAACAGCAATAACAAAAGGTGTCAGGAGAAATGAAATAAAGTGCTGGGAGCCGAAACAGGTTTGGCTCAGTGGATAGATGTCGGCCTGCGGACAGAGAGGTCCCAGGTTCGATTCCGGTCAAGGGCATGTACCTTGGTTGCAGGCACATCCCTAGTTGGGGGGTTGGGGAGGCAGTGCAGGAGGCAGCTGATCGATGTTTCTAACTCTCTATCCCTCTCTCTTCCTTTCTGTAAAAAAGTCAGTAAAGTATATTTTAAAAATATTTTTTTTTAAAAAAAGTACTGGGAACACAACTTTGTTTGTTATGAACATAATGGCACAGAAAGATTGAGAAGTAAAGATGTAGGGGGGGTAAAAAAGATATACAAAGCAAAATTAAGCAAAAGAAAACTGATGTGAAACTATATAAAAACATTATAAGAAATAAAATTTAAGGCAAGATGCATTATTGGGGATAAATAAGTTCCCAAAGTGAAGACAACTTATTTACCAAGGAGATTTAACAACTCTGAAATTACATGAACCAAACAATAGTCAAACTATCACAGACTTTTGAAGGAAAAAAAATAACATAAACACAATTGTAACAGTAAAACTACTTAGCATCAAAAAGACAGTAAAACAAAGTAAAATAATGATAGAATGGTGTAATATTTTTGCAATGCATAGTACTAAAAAATTAAACAGAAAATACAAAGGACTTCAAACAACATGAATAAGATATAGATTAACAACACAAAAGAAAAATTAGGCTATAAACTGGCAATACACAGAAGGATGTGAAAATATGCTCAGCTTTTTAAGTAATAAAGAAACTATAAGAAAAGCAACAATAAAATGTAATTTCATATCAATCCATTTGGCAAAAATTAGCAGTCTGACAATATCAAGTTTGACAAGGATGTGGAGCAACCAGATCTCTTTACCCATTGAGGGAGAGTGAGTTAACACCGCCATCACTTAGAGAGCAATTAGGCAATACCTATTAAGGCTGCAGCACTGTCTGTGCTATATCCATAACCCAGCACTGACCTTTTTAGGAAGAAAGTGTACTGAAACTCAACTATGTGCTCTCTACGAGTTGTGTATAAGAATGTTCATTGCAACATTGTGAAAATGGAAGGTAAAAGGGAGGGGGGGAAAATGAAACTATCCTTTAGAGCAGTGTTTCCCAAAGTGTGGTACGCGTACCCTCAGGGATACGGGAGGAGTTTGGTGGGGGTACGTGTTGCACTGGAGTTTGGTGGGAGTTTGGTGGGGGTACATGTTGCACCGGGCTTAGCTGCGCCTAATTCTACGTTCTCATGAGTACAAGGAGTACTCAGCATTACGAAAATTATAGAAGGGGTACACATATGTCAAAAGTTTGGGAAACACTGCTTTAGAAGAAGAAATTATTACGATTTAATCATATAATGGAATACTAAAAAAACAGCTAAGATTAATAAATTAGATCTATTTATATCAACATTGAGAAATCTTCAAAACAACGTTAAGCAACAAAACAGCAGCAAAAACATGTACAAGGGTGTCAATTGTGTACATTTTTTTAGGTACATATCCTATCTAATAATAGAATAATATGCAAATTAACCATCATTTCGTCACAAAAATGGCGGCCCCCATAGCCACAAGTTGGCGGTGCCCAGTCCTCTCAGCTCCACTGCTGGAGTGTCCAGCCTGTCTACAGGAGCAGCAAGGCTGGATCCGACTCCAGAGGCATTTCTGATCTGCCCCAGACAGGGCAGTCAGAGCCTGGACAGCAGTTAGCGCTGCGATGGCAGCAGGGAAGCCCCAGGCTCCAAAAACAGCCCAGACAGCAGGGCATGGGGGCTTCCCTACCACGGCGGCAGCGGGGAAGCCCCAGGCCCGGCAAACAGAGCCCAGACAGCAGGGCATGGGGGTTTCCGTGGCAGCGGGAAAGCCCCAGGCCCCACAGAGTCCAGACAGCAGGGCATGGAGGCTTCCTTAGTGTGTTGGTGTTGGCAAAGCCCCCAGGTCTGGCAGACAGAGCACACTGCAGGGCATTGGGGCTTCCTTCACATGGCGCATGGCAAGGCAGGCAGAGCACGGAGAGCAGGGCATGGGGGCTTCATATCCACGGCTGCAGCAAAACCTCCAGGCCCGCAGAGAGCAGAGTACCACGGGAAGTAGGCCTAAGTCATCAGTAGGACATCCCCTGAGAGCTCCTGGATTGTAGAGGGTGCAGGTTGGGCTGAGAACCCCCGTGCACGAATTTCATGCACCGGGCCTCTAGTATAGCTTATAAAAGACAGGTACATATATAGTGAAAATATAAAAACGTGCAAAGGTAATAATAGAACACAGCTTCAGAATGATGATAGCAGTTAGGAAAGGGGTAGATTAAGCTTTAGCAATATCTGCAATATTTTAAATCTTTTTAAAAGATCTGAAGCAAAAACTACAAAATGTCAACTGTTTAACTTCATGGTGGGTATACAAGCTGTCTGTTACATTACTTATTTTCTTTATGTTTGAATGTTTCATATTTTAAAAATATTTATTAAAATTAACTAATAATCAAGTGTATTAGTAGCTAATATTTACCGTGTATTTTCCACTCGTTGAATCCCCCAAAGATCTAAACCATCTTCAGTAAGAGTTCCAGTCTAAAAAAGGTACACATACAAAGTATGAATAATGCCTCCAAAAACAAAAATTGTGATAAGTTCTGCTACATATACACCATGGAGAACTATATACAGCTGTATACAAACAAATGAATGAAACAGTAAAAGTTCCATATACTGAAAGAGAATAATTTCCAGGACAAATGGTTAAAGTGGAGAAAAGGGTGCAGATCCTTGGTATGGATCCTTTATTTATAAGAAGACATATGCATACATCTGTATATTTCCAGACTTATATTATTAAAAAAAACAACAACAACAAAATAGTGGGACAATGCACCAATTAACCTATAAATCAATAAAGGATGCCTACATAGGAGAACAAGAGTAAAGCATTAAAAAGGAAGGGAACAAGGTAAATCACATCAGGGGAAGCAATCAACCAAATCCAGGATATAAATGACCTGGTTTCAACCAGATGACGGAAGAAAAGCAACTGTTACAGATTAATTATAGCTAAATGCAATAACTTGGATTCTGACTTAAAAACAAACTGTAAAATTATAGGTTTTTTCCTTCTTTTTTTTTTTTTTTTTAGAAAAGTAGGGAAATGTGAATATGAACTGGATATTAGATAATACTAAGGAACTGCTAATTTTGTAAAGTGTAGACAGTTATAACGGTACTGTAATTTTTTATAAAACAACTAGAGATACATACTGAGGCATATGGGTGAAATAATGTCTGATGCTGCCACCTTCAAAATGAGACCATCTAAACAAAGATGGTCTCAAGTGAGACCATCTAAACAAAATGCTAATAACTGTCAAACCTGGGTATTGGGTATGTGAGGGTTTATTACACTTGATCTTTCCTCCTCTTTTATGTCTGCTTCTGCTTAAAAATTTTACTGGTAATGTTTTCCAAAGAAGAAAAGTGTAACTGAAATTTTCTAAACAGATAATTATGAAATTTAGTCTTGGAATCTGATCTCTTTTTTTAACTCAATATTTGTTAAAAAATATTTTGTCTCCTTTGGGTGGTGAGCACATGATGCAATATACAGATGACGTATTATAGAATTGTACATATTAACCAATGTCACCCCAATAAATTTAACAAAAAGTAAAATGAAAGCAAAATGCAAAAATATATTTTGTCTCCCATTTTTTTCTTTAATAATGAAGATGCACAGAAATCAAATTCTTATCATATCAGTTACCCAAGTTTAATTGTCAAAATAAAACTGTTAGGCAAACTAATTTCAGTTGAGAAAAGGAAAACCCTTTGTTAAGAGATGAGGTATATTTCACATAAGTACAAAATTTTTTATTTTCACAAAATAGAAAAATCAGTGACCTTCATTATTTTTAAATATATTCAATAAATCATAAAGCAAACACTAAACATATATACTTAATAGCAATAAAATTCTAGTAAATATATCTGTATGGACTATATTCTGTTAAAAACACAAAAGATTAGAAAGTCTTTACTACTATTACTACTATTACAACTATTACTACTACAAGACATAATTTTGGATATGAATGAATTGGGCAAATAAGCAATATCCAAAATATTAAAAATGAGAAATATACAAAAATGGTACATATGCCAAGTAAGTTGAAAAGGAGGACCATTTTAAAATGTGTGCAAATTGGTTGATAAAGAATATAGAAAACATTAATCTAAGTATTTAAAATCTACAGAATAACCTTTGATAATGATTATGAGGTCCTGGCCAATTGGCCTGTAGCTTAGTTGTTTAAAGTATCATCCCAATACATCAAAGTTGCGGATTCGATTCCCCATCAGCACACATACATGAGAATGATTACGAAACTGAACCAACCTTGTCAAAGCAAACAAGATTCAGCTGTCCACATATATTTATCCTTTGGGGACTGATGCAGAAAATACCAATTTTTTTCAATCTTCTTTGAGCATACACAATGCCAGCAGTCATTGCAGCAGGAAGTGCAGGTGGCACAGTGATTGTAATGATATCAAGAGACTCAATAATTATTACTCCAATCTCCACCTATAATTCACAGAAAAGTAAGTGTCATACCCCTCCCCCAATAATGAAGATGCACAGAAATGCACTATTTTCTCATCTAGTAAGGTTTTTAGTGAAAAACCCAGAAACCATTTTCAATTTTATATATAACAAGTATGTGTATATAAACACTTCTATTAGCCCTTTATAATGTTTTCCCTTAGAAATTCTAAAAATAGAAAGTTCAATATATTGTCAATGGACTGTGGAATGACAGCTATTTTTAAAGAAAATTCTCCTTTAATATAGTAGTAGCTCTACATACTTCACACACTACACACTTTGAAGTTCATCAAACATTTGTCAGATACTGACTCTTACTATAAGCACTGCACTATACCAGTCTTTACAGAAATAGAAAAGAGAAATTTGACAAGATCCTTCAGCTGTATCTTAAATTAACTAACAAATAATTTTAATGCTATATAACCCATAAGTTAAAAAAAGAGAAAATAAAGCTTTTGGTATGTGGTTACTCCTCCTTATTTAAGTCATAAAAGAGCAAGTGAGACCATCTAAACCAAAGCCATTCAAAAGAACTTCCTATTATGATGGAAATGTTCTGTATCTACTTCCAAAAATAGTAGCTATTAGTGTTATATGGCTTTCAAAAGTTAAATTACATTAAAATTTTAGTTCTTTAGCCTCACTAGCCACTTTTCAAATCCTTAGTAGTCATATGTGATCATTAAAACTCAAACCCTACTAAGAGTTCCATGTACATACCTCATTTAAAATGCTATTGATAATAGTGTAGATGAACCCAATGGCAGCCACCGCCACAAGACACAGAAGAAACAAGTAGGCATCTCTGTAGAGTTTAAAATCTGTTGGTTTGGGATACAATATGGAACGAACAAGCTGTCCTTTGGAAGTACTAAATCCTTTTAAAAAATTTAAAGAAGAAAATGAAATTAGAATTCTTTTTCAAAAAAGAACATTCATTCATTCATTCATTCATTCATTCATTCCTAGAGGCCTGGTCCATGGATTCATGCACCAGTGGGGTCCCTCAGCCTGGCCTGCGCCCTCTCACAATCCAGGACCCCTCAGGGGATGTCAGACTGCTGGTTTCAGCCTGATCTCCACAGGCCAGGCCAACGGACCCCACTGGTGCATGAATCCGTGCACTAGGCCTGCAGTATGCATAAAAGATCTTTGGTTAATCTCCCGCCAACTCCCTTCCCTCTCTGCTTCATCAGTCTGTTCTGTTTCCATGACTGTGCTTTTGAGCATATGCCGCCTGGTTGTCAGTGTGCGACACAGCTACCAAACAGTCACTTAGGCTTTTTTATATATAGATGTATTGGCTTCGGGTGTACAGCTTAGTGGTTAAACAATCATAATTTACATAGTGATCTCGATATTTCCAGTATCCCAAGTGGCATCATACTTATTACAATATTCAAAACAGAATATCTTTTTAAACATTTAGTAGGTATCAAATACGCAAGAAGGGATATGTTTTTACCTGTTCTAACTACTATGGCCTTGACAAGTTCTCCAGTGTAGAAACGAGTTTGAATAACAGTAGTCCCACAAAACAAAGTATGTCGTTTATGTATTTCTGGACTATATAATTCATCTCCCGTTCCTTTTATGTCCACTGATGGATTTGGCAAATTCGTCTTTGTCACTGGAACACTTTCTCCTTAAAAACAAAAATCATAAATTAGAGTATAGAAATCAGTGGCAAACATATACAACTTGAGATAACAGCTACTAAAGTAGAGTTCTCATAATGGATAACATAACTTATTAAATTAGTTTTTTGTCTACCCATTTCCTTAGCCAATATATCAAATCTTGTCTCTCACAATAATTCCTGAAAGTGATCTATGATTCAAAGATAATCATTTTTAAATGATTGTGTCAAGTTTCAAAAAAGGATACCAGGTAAGAGTTGCCTTATCCCCAGCACCTGTTCTTTTATCCCTAAGAACTGAACTGGAAAGCACTGTGGTGCAGCCTCCAGCACACAGAGATGTGAAGACCTATTCCTAACCCCCAGAAACAAACACAAACACACCTAGAAGGGAGAGAATAATAAGTATCATGGTAGTTCCTCAGACAATAACAGAAAAATTATTTTTATTTATTTTTTTTAAATCAATCTTTATTGTTCATATTATTACAAAGGTTCCTCATTTCTTTCCCCCCTCCATCAGGTTCCCACCCCACCCTCCGCCCCCTCCCCATTCCTCATTGTCCTCATCCATAGGTGCACAGTTTATGTTCAGTCTCTTCCTCCCTCCCTTTCCCCGGAGAAAAATTATTTTTAACACTGAAATTTAATTCTGTGTAACATCCATAATTCCCGCTTCAAAGCCAACAAGTGTGTGGGGATACTTATGTGTGAGTGTGTTTCAGGAAAAAATTCTTAAGTTTGAACACATTATATAGGAATCACTTTCTTGCCAGACTAGCTATGACAATTAAAAAAATTCATTTGATAAAAAGATATAAAGTTCTATCTTCAGCTTGTGAATTTCCAAAAATAAATAAATAATAATAATCATTTTGAAGTCTACTTCTCCCCACTTTAAAAAAAATATAGCGTTTAGTCCCACTGTTTACACATCAAATAAGGAAGCAAATATACTGCATTCTCTATAAGCCACGGATTCTTTCTTCTTCCCTTACTACAAAGCATTTCCTCATATTAAAAAGAATAAACAGGAGCATGCCAAGAAATGCAGTGATGACCAGCATGGTGATTTAGTATCACAGGTAAGCATAATGCAGAATTTGGTCCACTCAGAATAAAAATCAAAAACAAAAAAAACACTTCAATATCCATGACATTCATAACATTCATAAAGAAAAGATAAACAGCATAGCTAATTTTGAAATAGATTCATCAGCAACCACTTAATCTACTCTCATTATAAACAACTAATCTGATTTTCCTCATTTCATTTAGTTTACCTGTTAACATGCTTTCATTTACAATGCAAGTACCATTAATAAGTACTGCATCACAAGGCATGATAGTCCCATTTAATGGAATGACCATAACATCTCCCGGCACAAGTTCTGTAGAAAAGATCTCTTCTCTTTCTGGATTTAAAAAAAGAAAAAAGGAAAAAGTTGGAAAACAATATTCTTTAACTTAGAATAAACATAAGCAAACAAAAGGTCATCTGATCTCAATGAAATGTTAAATATAAAGGAGTTAACAGAAAAATTCCAATAAACAAAATGTTTCAACAAGAAAATGATTATTCCTTAAGCTAACAAAGCATGGTGTTTAATGTCGGCTAGTTTGTCCCGACAAGCTAACTGTGCATAGGTAATGCAAGTCCTCTCTGACCAAACAGGTGGGTGGGCTCCAACATTCTTTATAACACTCAATGATCAATTTTAGCTAATACCCTTTTAGAAAATAGTAAGTCCTCATGAGATCCCCTGCAATGGATAAATATATTCAAATTTCTATAATCCCTTGAAAACAGAAGCATTGAAAATTTTAGCTACTTTCTCTTCTAACAGCATTTTTTGTAGCATTCTTCTTCTATTGCCACCATTTATAATCTAGAAAGTCTCATTGTGTTATCAATAAAATTCCTAAAATAGTCCTAATATTTTAGACATTATTTTAAATAAAATTTTAAAATAAGTATTGATATATTATCCATTTCATTATTTCCTTAAAAATGTGTATACTATATTCAAGTTAGGTAAAGACTTTTTAGAAGATCTTCACAAGTAAAAGGTTTTTCTTTAGGATTGCCTTATATAAGGTTTCTCCCAAAAATGTGTAAACACTTCAGAAGCTAATAGCTGTATATTCTATAATATTTCATTTTGAAAATGAAATGTATTTTAATAAACACTGCCTTTATAGTATGTATACATTTTTTTAATACTATCCTCAGAAGACAGTTGCATTAGTTTGTAAACAAAAATGGGTAAGAAAACTATTGTTTGTGACAGTGTGTAGGACACTCTTTCCTTTGTAAAACACACACACACACACACACAACAACAACAACAACAACAAAGAACTAGTTTACTAAGCTATGAGGAAAAAACCCTTAAAGGATTCTAATGATATTTGGTACATAGATATAATAATCTTCATTTTTAAATAAGATACCTATTTTTAAAACTTTTAAAGCTGTTAACACCACTTGAAATTCAACTCCTCTTAGGTCTACCAGGAAATAAAATATCAATGATCAGATAGACTATACATAGGGGATAGGACAACATAAACTGAATGGTACATATGTCCTAGCATTCCCAATTATCTCCAGCAGCAGCAGAGCAAGAAGAGAAGCACCAATAATCTGACACATCTAACATTTCAGGTAAGGGAGACAGACAGATACTCCCAGCTAAAATAGCAAGTGACCAGGAAGCACAGGAAAGGAGAAACCTGCGAGGCCAAACTGTTTACACTTGAGTGAGGTATACTGAGCCAAGAAAATGGAGACTGATTCGGTGTTCCTCACAAATCTAAGTAGCTATGGCCCCCAAGGCCCATGATGTTCTGCTATCTCCCCCGTATCTTCTTTACCTCTTTAATATCTCACCAAACTAACATGACCAAAACATTATCCATCCTACAATTCTGCTTCTCCTTCTATTTAATTAAACTATGTTAATTAAACATCCACCCCCCAGTCTGACATCACTCTATGATAGGGGTGTCGAACTCAATCAGAGAAGGGGCCAAAATCTAAAATCCAGCCTAAATCGCGGGCAGAATGGTTTACTGAACAGTCATAAACTGACAATGTTAATCAGAAATGTGAATTTAAAATGAGTGGAACAATCTTTTCCTTAACAGTGCTGTTAACCAACTCACATGCTATCAAGGATCTGGCCTGCGGGACCTGTGTTTGACATGTGTGCTCTATGACCTTGCATCCAATGAATCATAAAATCCTGTTCCATAGCCCTACAAATAGTTTTCAAACCCACATCAAATCTCTCTATTTCCACAACCTTCACCTTAATCCATTTCATGCCTTCAGGATTACTTCCCTCTAAACTAGTGTGAACATGGTAGCCAGAATAATTTTTTCAAAAAGGCCAAGAATGATCAGATCACTCCCCTGTTTAAAATCCTTCAATGGCTGTCCATTGCATTTTGGAATAAGTCAAAAATTCTTTAACATACCTTTGAAGGCTGTCCATCATCTACTTTTTACATCTGCCAAACTGAATTTCTTTCAGTTATTACAATGACCAACCTCCAGGTCTTTGGGCACTTAGAACCCTCTTCCTTTCCCCACTCATCTCCACCATACTATCTTCTCACCTACCTCTTATCTAATTCAACCTCTTACAAAATACTTTTATAAAGAAGCCATCCCTGGAATCTACAGTAAATGAACTCTAATATCTAATAAGCTCCCTTTGTCACACTTGATTATCCAATTTATCATCTGTCTTTCCAACTAGTCTGAAGTTTAGTGATGCAACAACTATGTCCTTCTTAGTAATCACTGCATCCCCATAGCCTAGTATAATAGCTGTTACATTGTAGAAAAACACAATTTCATATAAGTGAATTAATTTGATATAAACTAAGAGATGAGTACAAATTCACACATATATTAAGAATGTATATTGAACACATTGACTTACTTCATATATTAATGTTTAATGGAAATCTTTTTTGGTTTATTTTTGTCAAGAGTCACCTGAAGTACTTACCTTCATTTACTCTGCAAACTGAAACTCTCACAGTACTGTGAGCTGCCACCATGTCATGCAACATGATATATTGCTGAAATAAGAAAAATAAAAACTAGCTAATATAAACCACTCTTCAATATATTAAAAAGTAAGGGTACTATAAAATAAAGTTAATACAATAAATGCTTATAACTCTGCCCTTAAAATTCTCAAGACTAAAAGATTTAAAAAATTATTTGATGTTTTAGCTAGACAAAAGAAGCACTTTATCCCTGAAAACACTAGAATCAGTCTATGAAAAACAATTATAGACCCCTACTATGGCCTCTAAGTAGTGAAGTAATAAACTGACTCTAAAAAACTTATGCCTTCCCACCTCAAAAAAAGGGACATATTCATAACTAAAAGAAAATCTGTATTGAGTATTACTTTGTATCAAGAACTATTCTACGCACTGTACAAAATGTAAGTATAGTTGTGAAATACATAATAAATTGAACTTACCTTTTTAATGGAATATAGAGAACTTAGAATTGATACTACAGACATAATCACAATGGCTAGAGCATAGTAATAGTATTCATCAGTGCACCACAGTATAACACTGAACAGCTGGAAAATGTAAAATGGGTTGAGAACCTAAAAAAACAAAAAAACAAAAAAACCCAAGATTTTGAAGTCAAAGTGAATAAAATGTTTATAACCATACAGATTTTCCATTTTTTTATTTAAGATTAGAGGCCCAGTACCTGAAAATTCATGCACTGGAGGGGGGAGCAGGTCCCTCAGTGTGGGAGCCACTCTGGGACAGGAAGCGACCAGGCAATCAGGGGAAGGTGACGCCCCATCATACCTCTGCTGCTGCCACTGCCGGCAGTGCAAGCCTCAACTGGCCTTGGTTACCTCAACTAGCTCTGGTAGCCCTGGGGGGCTGGGCAACCACCATCCGAGGCTTGCCTGCACCTCGGGCTGGCCCTGGGAAGCTGGGAGACTGAGAACTGGGGGACTCCGGAGGCAGGCATGCAGAGCTCCTGCTGCCCCGCGGGGCTGAGGGAACTGGGCACCAACATCTTTGAGGGCGGTGCAGTAAATTAGCATATTCCCTCCTTATTTAGGCTGTGGGTGCTGCCATCTCTGAGGGGAGGCAGTTAATTAGCATATTCCCTCCTTACTGGCTGTGGGTGCCGCCATCTTTAAGGGTGGGGCAGTCAATTAGCATATCCCCTCCTATTGGCTGTGGACGCCACCAATTTTGTGACAGAGTGAGGTTCAACTAGCATATTCCTTCTTTATTAGATAGGATACTATAGGATAAGCATGTACTACCCCAATGTTGTAAAACTGACGCTTCTGTCCCTCTCAAGGCACTTTGCATACATAGTCCCATTTTACTTCCAAATTATAAAGAGCCACAATTTAATTAAGAATGCATTCTTAGTTTTCTGTTTTCTAACTTTTATTTAGATAATCAGAAAGAGATCATCAGAAAGGACTTGCTCTACTTTTATAAGTAAAGGAGCAGCAAAGAGAAAGATTTTCTGATGACCAAAGCTAGTTACTGATGGAACCATGTTACAAACAGAGCTTTCTAATTCCTAATCATTATATTTTGTTATATTCTAAAGCAACATCATATAGTCACTCTCAGCAACTGATTAAAACAATCTTTTATTTCTACTAAAAGTATTCACTGAATACAAACTAACTTGATCTTTAGCAAAAAATTAAAAGACAGATTGGAAAGTCTAACTGCTAGACAACATCTTATTCCCTTCCTTTATATGCACAACCTTTATTCAAACCTCTTCTATAGCAACTAGAGGCCCAGTGCACAAACTCTGGGTGGCCTACAGAGATCCAGCTGAAACCCTCAGTCCAACACTGCCTGCAGCTCCTGCTCATCCCACCAGCCACGAGCCCTGCATCTGGCGCCCTCCCAAGGAGAGTGGCCTGATGGATCACTGAAACCAGCCCTCCACCATACTCCAAGGGGTCACGGATTGCAAGAGGGCACAGGCCAAAGCTGAGGGGCCCCACTGGTGCATGATTGGGCAGGGGATTGGGCCAGGGAGGGATCACCGGCCGGAACTAACAAGCTAACCTATCAGTCAGAGCACTGCTTCCTGGTGGTCAGTGTACATCATAGCATCTGGTCACCAGGAGACTGACTGTTCCCTGGTGGTAAGTACATGTCATAGCAAGTGGTTGAGCAGCCTCAGCATATCATTAGCATATTACACTTTGAATGGTTGTTCAATTGTTCTGTTGTCCGCTCTATTTTCATATTATCCTTTTATTATATAGGATTACAACTGAACAGTCACTACAGAAAGTACTGACATGTTTTCTTACCAGGTTAAAGTGCAAATTCCTCAATAAAAACATCAGTTCACATGATAAACTGTTTAAAAATCAGAAAACAGCCAAAATTGGTTTGGCCCAGTGGATTTGGACTGAAGGGTCCAGGTTCGATTCCGGTCAAGGGCATGTACGTAGGTTGCGGGCACATCCCCAGTAGGGGGTGTGCAAGAGGCAGCTGGTCGATGTTTCTCTCTCATCGACGTTTCTAGCTCCCTATCTCTCTCCCTTCCTCTCTGTAAAAAATCAATAAAATATATTAAATAATAATAATAATCTACAGAACAAAAAAAAAAAAAATTAGACAAAAAAGGAAAGTCATACACTAAATTATTTGAGTTATTAACTTTACCTTCCAAGTGGAAAAAAAATAAAAAGAAACAATAAAAATAAAGAAATCCTATATAATAAAGAGATAATATGCAAATGGTCATCACACTCTCACGTTGTCACGCTCTCATGCCATCACGCCATAACTGTCCAGACACTCAACACTGGGGAGAGAGAAATATGGACCAGCCAGGCACAAAAGAGAGGAATGGGGACAGTCAGGATGCAGCCTAGGAGAGGGAAAAGCCGCCCATTCCGAGGTCCCGGGTGCCAGTGCTGCGCCTGTGCCTGCACCTGCAGTCTGGGAGAGGGACAAGCCGCCCACTCCACAGTCCTAGGTGCCAGCAGCTGCGCCTGTGCCTGTGAATGTGGCCCAAGAGAGGGACAAGCCACATGCCCTGCAGTCCCCGGGGAGGGCCAAGCCACCACACCACAGTCCTGGGCGCCAGCGGCTGTGCCTGCATCTGAAGCCCAGGAGAGGGACAAACCCACACCGTGTAATCCCAGGTGCCAGAGGCTGTGCCTGTGCCTACAGCCTAGGAGAGGTACAATCCACATGCCTCACGTTCCCCGCAGTCCCAGGCGCCAGGACAAGCCACCCACCCCAGGGTCCCGGGTGCCAGAAGCTGTGCCCACGCCTGTGCCTACAGCTGGGAAGAGGAAGAAACTACACATCCCGCAATCCCGGGCACCAGTACCTATGGCTGCCGCCCAGGAGAGGGACAAGCCACCCACCCACAGCCCCCTGCAGCTATGGCTGGCCTGGGTGAAGCTGGTCCAGGTCCTGGGTGCCTGCGGCTAGTCAGAGGGAGGGAAGCCAGGGTGCCGAGTGCCTGCGACCGGCAGGAGGAGGAAACCCTAGGTCCCAGGTACAGTGTGAGATAGAGGCAGTTAAGGGCGATTAGGCCATCAGGAGAGCAGCTGGCGTGATCAGGCTGGTAGGGGAGCAGTTAGGGGCCATCAGGCAGTGAGGCAGGCAAGTGGTAAGGAGCTAGTGGTCCCGGGTTGGGAGAGGCAATCAGACATCCCCCAAGGAGTCCTGAATTGGAGAGGGTGCAGGTTGAGCTGAGAGACCCCCCTCCCATGCACGAATTTCATGCACCGGGCCTCTAGTCTATATATATAAAAGACTAAGTGACCGAACACCCACACATATATACATACATCCAACCGACCAACCAGCCAGTATATATGACATGCACTGGCAATTTCAAAATAAACATTGACTTACATACTCATGATACATATAAAGCTCTCAATGACGCCAGATGCACGCATGTTTCCATCTGTCATTGTCGATCGTGAATCTGGCTGTTTTTGTTGAAATGATTTGTAACAGATCTATTATTGAAGCTACCTTTGGAAATAGTACATCTATAGATAATATTAAAAACATAACTAAACGTGATTCTTTGTCCAAAAAATGAGCACTTTCATAAATTAAATGAAGAAATTTTGGATATACTTGATGGAGATTTTCACACTTGAGTAATGATTCCGTCGATTCAACGGATGATGCCGAAAAGGAAAATTTTCCCACCAAATTCCTTTAATAGTATTACTCCTTAAGGAATGTTGTGTCATAAATTAAAACTGAAAGTAGGTGCAATCATCATGCTACAGAGAAATCTTAATAGCAAATGGAGTCTTTGAATTGGTACTAGATTTATTATCAAATAGTTGCGACCTAACATAATCAAAGCTGAAGTATTAACAGGATCTGAGGAAGAAGAGGTTGTTCTGATTCCAAGAATTGATTTGTGCCTCCCATTTAAATTAATTCGAAGACAGTTTCCCGTGATGCCAACATTTGCGATGACTATTAATAAACCAAAGGACAAACTCTAGACAAAGTAGGAACCCATTTTCGGACATGGTCAGCTATATCTTGTTTTCTCTCAAGTTCGAAGAGTGTGGAACGTTAAAGTTGTAAATACTTCATCACAAGGGAAATTAGTCAAGCACTCTGAAAGTGTTTTTACTCTTAATGTGGTACACAGGGAGATATTAGAATAAGTTTAATCAATTTATCAGTCATTGTTTTTATCACTGTTGTTTTTATATCATGTTTTTGTTTTTATATCTTTTTTGTTTTTATATCATATCTTTGTTGTTATTGTTTATTCATTAATCAATTTATACAATATTTTCATATACATTTTACTAATTTTCTTTCATCTCTGACACTTCTATTACAGAAAAAGAGCAAATAGTGGTATTACAATATCTCTTCTAATTAATTTATTTTCAATGTGCACGAATCTGTGCATCAGGCCGCTCGTAAAAGATGATAAACAGAAAATTAAGAGGTCTTATTACTTAAATTATGGCTCTTTTCAAATTGACAAATCTATTGACTACAAATATTGAGACATGTATACTAATAGTCTTACCTCCTTAATTAGAAGCTTAAAAACAGAAGGCACTTTCACAGAAATTTCATTTATTCCATAAAGCAATTTTCTATGACAAGAAAATATAATAATAGTATTACATTACATTACATTACATAATAATAGTGTAATATTGGGAAGTTACTTCATTACATAAAGCTCAAACCACAGACTGCTCCTAAACTAGAACTTACACATTCATGTTTCTATATGCTTGTCTTCTACAATTCAAATTCTCTACCTTTAGTATTTAAATTAAATAGGTAATACTGGATAACTATACAGCTATCATTTGATTTATTCTAACTCATATCTTTTTGTGTGACATATATCTTTCTAACTAGTCTATAATAATGTCAGTAAAGATTTTCTTTTCCATTCTCAAACAAAAATTCTTAAATTGCAAGTAATTTTTGCAAAACCTAAATAAATAAATTTAAGGGACCCAGTACTATTTTTCTAATAAGAATATTGTTCTTTGCCCTAGTTTGTTTGACTCAGTGGATAGAGCATTGGCCTGTGGACTGAAGAGTTCCAGGTTCGATTCCAGCCAAGAACACATGCCTAGGTTGCAGGCTTGACCTCCAGTGGGGGTCATGCAAGAGGCAGCCAATCAATGATTCTCTCTCATCATTGATGTTTCTCTTTTTCTCCCTCTCCCTTTTTCACTGAAATCAATAAAAATTGATTAAAAATAAAGAACCCTAACCAGTTTGACTCAGTGGATAGAGTGTCGGCCTATGGACTGAAGGGTCACAGGTTTGATTCCATTTAAGGGCATGTACCTTGGTTGCAGGCATATCCCCGATAGGGGGTGTATAGGAGGCAGCTGATTGATGTTTCTAACTCTCTATTCCTCTCCCTTGCTATCTGTAAAAAAATAAAATAAAAATAAAAATAAAAAATCAGTAAAATATACCAAAAAATATTTTTTTTAAAAAGAATATTGTATTAAACCCTAACCAATTTTTCTCAATGGTTTGAGCATCAGCCTGTCCACTGAAGGGTCTCAGATTCGGTTCCAGTCAAGGGCACATACCTCAGTTGCAGGCTTGGTCTCCAGCCCTCATTGGGGTATGTGCAGGAGACAACCAGTTGATGTGTACCTCACATCAATGTTTCTCTCTCTGTGTCTCTCCCCCTCCCTTGCATTCACCCTTAAAAAAAAAAATCAATGGGAAAAATATCCTTGGGTAAGGATTAATAAAACAAAATAAATGCCCAGCTGGCGTGGCTCAGTGGTTAAGCATTGACTTATGAACCAGGAGGTCACAGTTCCATTCCCAGTCAGGGCACATGCCTAGATCCCGAGCTCAATCCCCAGTGTGAGGCATGCAGGAGACAGCCAATCAATGATTCTCTTTAATCATTGATGTTTCTTACTCACTCTCCCTCTCCTTTCCTGAAATCAATATATATATATATGTGTGTGTGTGTGTGTGTGTGTGTGTGTGTGTGTGTGTGTATTGTTCATTTCACTGAGCCAAACTGGTTTCGGCTATATTGTTCATTTCAAAGAACTGTATACGGAACATTTTCTTAAAAAAAAAAAATACTTTTAAAAAGTTGCTTAGCAATGGCCAGTATTACTCAGTGGTTAGAGTGTCACTGTCCCGGTCAAGGGCTTGCACCTGGGTTACAGGTTCAATCCCCAGCCCATCCAAGCAGATGTGTCTCTCTTACATCTCTCTCTCTCTTACCTCTCTCCTCTCTCCTCCTCCTCTTCCTCTTCTTTTTCCTCCTCCTATCTCCTTTCTCTCTCCCTCTCTTTGCCCCTCTTAAAAAAAAATCAATGGAAAAATATCCTCTCATGAGGATTAACAATAAAAAAAGAAAAACTGTTTAAATCCTTCTGCTTAAAGTCCTTATAATAGTACTTTATATATGATAGAGTAATTCTTTCCTTTTAAGAATCATAAGTGTAAATGAAGAGACTCTTACTAGTATATTCTTTACACTTTGAAAAGATAAGCATTTTACTATAAGAAAATTTCTAACTTAATTTGAAAATGGCACTTATCTTTAAATATGCAATACACCAATACATTTTAATACTTTAGCAGACAATAATATGATAACAAAAGATTGTCTTCCAATTTATAAATTTCACTGTAATAAATTTGAGCTCATGCTTACAATTCCCAATATATAGCAGTAAAGTCCAAGATGCTATCAATTATAAGATATACCCATTATTGTATATAAAATTAAGAAAGACAAAAGATGACTCTCCAGCCACTGTATAACACATTCCCCTTTTAGAAATGTTAAAATGTGGGGAAATGTACACCTTAGAACTGATGAAATATGGTATATTTTCAGGGATATCAACTTCATATCAGCACCAGTATTTTTATAACTCTTAATCTGAAAGATAGCCTTACCCAAATAAAAAATCAATAAGTTGTCAAGTACTATATCTATAATATTTAAATATCTGTTAATATGTACAACTATATGGTAAAGGGTGAACTATACATACTACTGTATTTCGGAATTTTGATAATAGATCTGACTTTAGTTGGATAAAAATTACCTGTAGGCATGCATCCCCTTTGTCAGTCCTGCACTATGCTTTTCATAAATTGACGTACAAGAAACACCTTCATCCAGTCCCCTAAATAAATCCAAAGTTTTTACTTTAAACAAAGTTTAAAATATCCAAATGTCTTAATGCCTCATTTTTCTATATTCTGATTTTGAAGTGTGACTTCCTTACAAACAGAAATCCTTAACAAAAAAATTAGATAATGAATGGGAATTTTAAAATCTAATCATCCCTAAGATAAACAGTAGTAAAAGTTCTAAGTCTCGAAAGTGGCAACTTCTATATTATACAATGTATCTATCACAAGATAAGATGGCTTTAAATATTCGTGTTGTATAATATTATTATTATCTTTTAAGGCTGTGCTCCAAAGCTGTAAGAGCTAATAACTAGACTAATAAAATTAGAGTATGATAGTTTGAGAATTCCAAACTAATAATAAAAAAATGTTTTACTCTTTAGTTAGTTCCCCCCCTCTTTAATTCTTTAAGCTTCACAGTAAGAAATCCTATTCACTTATTTTCTTCCTATAAAAGCATTCATCGAAATCGTTCCCTGATCTAATACATGATTTTTCCCACTGAAATTGATGACTTCTCCAAAGGCAGTAGCAATCAGCTGCAAGTCAAATTTTTTTTTTTAAACTGAAACACCAGCTCATTGGCAATATTCTGTAAGGCAATGGTTCTTAACTAGGAATGGTCTTCACAACCATTTGGAAATGCCTTGGTCCATTCCAGCATATTCTAATTCTTTAGTGTCAGGGGGTTTGGGGGATTGCTAATATTAAGAATTCCTTTAGCACTCTCAAGCAATGATAGTTGAATTTTTATAAGAATCCCTTTAACAAAGGCAATAAAAATAGAATTCTAATTAACTAGTACTTATATAACTTGAAGCCTACACAAAAATTTATCCAGTGATAAATTTTAAGAGATTACGCCAATTTGTCCTACCCAACGTTTAACACATTTGACAATGTCCCATCTTTATTTACATAGTGAAGTTAAATTTCTATCTCTTCATTCCTCAAGTAAAAGTGGGTGGAACTGTGGCATATTGGGAGGTAACAGTTCAGATAGGTATTCTCAAAGTTCACTTTGAGATGAACCCTCAAAAAGAAAAGAACTCAGATGTAGTGGATTTTAGGATCATACTACTTTTTCATTTTTATGTAAATTTTGCCAAGATACAAGTTGCAAGTGACATTTCATTCTAAAATGGTTAATCAGTATTCAAATAACACTGGAAGTTGCTAATGATAAGTCAATAAAACCTATTCAATTTTATGTAACATTACAATGATTTCTTTTCTATCTAGAACATTTTCAATATACTCATAATATAATCCAAACAAAAGAAAATCACTTACTTTAAGAAATCAAAATTGTGAAGCGTATCATTCCAGAAATATTTTACACTATGGTGGGTGAAATAACGAATCTGTAAAACACATAAATGTTACATCAAAAAGCATTATCATCACCAGTTCTCAATTACATTTACTAAGACAAATCTATCATCTAACAACATATTAAATTTAAAGTGATTACATATGAAATGTAAATGTAGTTTCTTTTAGTAATACCTAAACTTTTATAATACAGTAAAAACAAGTATTTTATATGCATATAAGTTTATCTCAAAAATAACTCCAAACACAAAATTACAACTATACATGATAGCATAAAATGTAACAATTTGATTTTTAAAGAAACCTTGAAACTAGGATTACAATACCTGTTCTGATTGTGTCTGTGAATATTTACTTATCTCATGCCTGTTCTCTTCAGCCAGATTTTCAGTTAAAAGAACAGAATGGCCATTTGAAATCTTATTAGCCATAGATTTTGGACTCGAAAATTGATGAGTTTTCAGAGAAAGCAAGCGAATTTTTGCACAAAACCACATTCTGAATTCATCCTTACAAGAGAGAAAGGTAAAGAGTCAATTATGTATATTACACAACTGCCTACATTTTTATTTGATTTCCATTCTTTATGATATTTACTCATCTCTGAGAAAACATCACTTCCTACTATTAAACCATTTCATAAAGATGTATAAATTCGAATGTGAAGAGCTTACAACTTTAAATGGCATACTTCACTAACACAATATCCCATAAAAGTTCATGAGTACTTTCTTAATTTACCCAACATATTTAGACTAGATATTAACATATCCTAAAAAATACTTCCAGGTAGGATCATTGGAAAACAAATAAACCCAACACCCTGGGTTGATGAAACAGCATAACATAGTAGAAGCAACTGGTTTGGTGAATGAGAGATCCTATAGTCCTAACTATCCGGTGACCTTGAAGGATAGCATCTAATCTCTCAGAGCATCTAAAGCTTAAAAGGAAGTGTTGCAGCGCCGAAACCGGTTTGGCTCAATGGATAGAGCGTCGGCTTGAGGACTGAAAGGTCCCGGGTTCGATTCCGGTCAAGGGCATGTACCTTGGTTGCGGACACATCCCCAGTAGGGGGTGTGCAAGAGGCAGCTGATGGATGACTCTCTCTCATCGATGTTTCTATCTCTCTCTCTTTCTCCCTTCCTCTCTGTACAAAATCAATAAAATATATTTAAAAAAAAAAAAAAGGAAGTGTTGGATTTGATCATCTTTAAGATTCCTTATACTCTAATAATATTAACTTCAAACACAGGTGACTGAGAAATACTAGGATTAGTATTCCTCATTATATCTTACAGTGGTATTCTCCATATATTAGAGGCCTTGTGCACAAAATTTGTGCACTGGAGGTGGGGGGAGAGGTCCCTCAACAAGCCTGCACCCTCACCCAGTCCAGGACTCCTCTGGGGATGTCTGCCTGCTGGGGGGATCGGGCCTAAGCCAGCAGTCAGATATCCCTCTCCCAGTTCAGGGCTCTGGGCTCTCACAGTCCAGGACCACTCGCTCCTTATCACCCGTCAGCAGCTGAGATGGGAGAGGCTCCCACCACCTCCTCTGAGCTTGCCATCCCTGAGCCCAGCTTCTGGATGAGTGGTGCTCATCCAGTGGGAGCAAACTGACCACTAGGGGTAAGCTCCTGCGTTGAGCATCTGACCCGATGGTCAGTGCACATCACAGCGACTATTCCACCAGTGGTTCAACCATTCGGTAGATTTGCATATTAGGGCTTTATTATATTGGATATTGAAAAAAGTACACACAAAGACATTCTTTTACTCCTCAAATAACCAGCTACAGTACAAGTAAATCTGCGGACTTACAGTAGTCCTCAGCAGCACCACTTCACAGTCTTTGATTGCAGCTCTAATACAGGTTGCCTTCACCCGCCACTCAGGCATCCAATAGAGGAGGAGGAGGAGAAAGCCACCAGTGCAAACCACTCCTACAGAAACTACAGCGAGCTTCCAGCGACACAAATTATAGCCATAAATTTCCTGCATGGACATAGCAACCATGATTAATCATCAAGTGATATGAAAGATAAATTCCAAAGTTCTTTGTTTTCCAAATGGTTGTTATTGTCTTGTCAGATAAACTACAAATATTTTCTCAACCCATAATTTTATCTTTAAATTTTGTTTCTGATAAGCTCATTGTCAAAGGTATACTTTTAAGTGGCAAAATCTGTTGATATTTACACATTACTTTCTACATTTGATGTTATCATTAGTAACATACCGTATTTTCCGGTGTATAAGATGACCGGACGTATAAGACGATTCCCTAATTTTACAGTTAAAACATAGGTTTAGGCCTATATTCGCTGTATAAGACTACCCCCCACTTCCGAGGCAACACTAGTTCTTTTTTTAATAGACCGCCTCTCTAACTCAGCCAATCCAAGCAGGCTTTTTATGCATGCAAATTATACATGTTCTGTACCTGAAGCTACACTGTGCTCTAGTAAAAAGCCTGCTCAGATTGGCCAGAGTCAGAGAGGCGGTCTATTAAAAAAAAGAACTGGTGTTGCCTCGAAGTGGGGGGGGGGGTAGTCTTATACAGCGAATATAGGCCTAAACCTGATTTAACTGTAAAATTAGTGGGTCATCTTATACGCCGGAAAATACAAAATACGGTAATGCTTTCCCACTGATATAGTACATTCCCATTTAATATACTTTCCTAGAATTTTTATAATTCCACTAGAGGCCCAATGCACTAAGATTCATGCAAAAATGGCCTCCCTTCCTCTGGCTGCCAGCATCACCTTCGCTCCAGTCAGAACCGCCTTTCTGCTCTGGCCCAGAGCTGCCTTCCAGCCTTCCCATGCTACCTAGAGGCCCAGAGCAGCCAGGGGCGGTGCAAAGCGCCTGCATATGCAAATTAGCCCGTCATCTTTGTTGGATTAATTTTCATACTCACTCCTGATTGGCTGATGGGTGTCACAAAAGTACGGTCGATTTGCATCTTTCTCTCTTATTAGATTTTTACATTTATCTTTTGAATTTTTCTAGAACTTTTCTCGTTATAAGATAGGTTTTTTTTTTTAATAAACTATATTTGAAATAATTCCCAATTTGCTAAAAAGCTACAAAAATATTAAGAGTTTCTGTATATCCTTTATCCACTTTCCACTAATGTTAATATCTTGGTACATTTTTCAAAATAAAAAAGATTAGTCCAGCCAGTGTGGCTCACTGGTTGAGCATCAACCTATGAACCAGAACGCCCCAGTTTAATTCTCAGTCAAGGTACATGAGCAGGCTTGATTCCCAGTAGGGGGAAATGCAAGAGGTAGCCTATTGATGATTCTCTCTCATCACTGATGTTTCTCTATCTCTCTCTCTTTCTCACTTCCTCTCTGAAATCAATAAAAATGTATACTAAAAGAATAAAAAATGTTAACATTGTACATTATATTAAGTAAATCTTGTCTTTATTAGGATTTCACCATTTTTTTCACCATCTTATTTTTGTTTCAGAATATAATTTAGAATATCATGTTGCATTTAGTTAAGTTTTAACTTTTTTTTACCCAAATCTTTACTAATTGTCTCAATACTACTGTTACTGATCAATCTAACCTTTTGACCCAAATTATTCAAATTGTTTCAGTTACCCTAACAAGGGCTGCCAATTTTAGCAAATAAAAATGCAAAGGGCCTATTTAAATTCAAATTTCAGATAATAACAAAAACTAGTTAATTTTTTTGTTGCCCTTTGCAATATCATGGACATACTTATATTACAAATGTATTTCTTGCCGAAGCCGGTTTGGCTCAGTGGTAGAGCGTTGGTCTGCAGACTGAAAGGTCCCAGATTCCATTCCGGTCAAGGGCATATACATTGGTTGCAGGCACATCCCCGGTAGGGGGTGTGCAGGAGGCAGCTGGTCGATGTTTCTCTCTCATCAAAGTTTCTAGCTCTCTCTCTCTCTCCCTTCCTCTCTGTAAAAACTCAATAAAATATACTTTTTTAAAAATGTATTCCTTGATTATCTGAAATCCACATTTAACATTTCACAGGGAGTCTTATATAGGGTAGAACAAAAGTAGATTTACAGTTATACCGTATTTTCCGGCGTATAAGACGACCCCCTAATTTTACAGTTAAAACATAGGTTTAGGCCTATATTCGCTGTATAAGACTACCCCCCACTTTGAGGCAACACCAGTTTTTTTTTAATAGACCCCCTCTCTGACTCTGGCCAATCTGAGCAGGCTTTTTTTCGTTTCAAAAGTTGTCTTATACGCCAGAAAATACGGTAAGTACTCAAAACACTATGTTATTGTATTATTTGTTAATAACTAGAGGCCTAGTACACAAAATTTGTGAAGGGGGGCTCCCTCAGCCCAGCCTGCACCCCCTCCAATCTGGGACCCCTAAAGGGATGTCCAACGGCCAGTTTAAATTGGCAGTCAGACATCCCTCTCACAATCCGAGACTGCTGGCTCCCAACTGCTCGCCTGCCTGCCTGATTGCCCCTAATTGCTTCTGCCTTCCAGCCTGATCACCCCCTAATGACTCCCCTGCCAGCCTGATCAATGCCTAACTGCTCCCCTGCTGACCCAATTGTCTCCAACTGCCCTCCCCTGACAGCCCTGTCACCCCCAACTGCCCTCCCCTGCAGGCTTGGTCACCCCCAACTGCCCTCCCCTGCCGACCCGGTCACCCCCAATTCCCCTCCCCTGCCAGCCTAGTCACCCCTAACTACCCTCCTCTGCCAGCCCGGTTGCTTCCAACTGCCCTCCCCTGCTGACCTGATTGCCCCTAACTGCCCTCCGCTGCCCTCCCCCTCCCCCCCCAACTGCCCTCTGCTGCAGGCCTTCCCACCCCCCACCCCAACTACCTTCCCCTGCCAGCCTGGTCACCCCCATCTGCCCTCCCCTCTGGCCTGATTGCCCACAACTGCCCTGACCCTGCTGGCCATCTTGTGGTGGCCATTTTGTGACCATATGAGGGCAACCATCTGGAAACCACATGGGCTGGCCATCTTATACGAGGGCATGATGGTCAATTTTCATATTACCTCTTTATTATATAGGATGTATTATTTTCAATTGTAAACTACTTTTTCCCCACCTTGTATTTTATCTGACAACTATCTCCTTCCATTCGCCACACACAGAAAAAATTGAAAAGTGTGCTTTTTAAATTAAGCTGATTTTAAACATTTTATAAATCAAAGTTAGAAATCTTGGATTTGGAATTATATTTTAAGCATTAGCTAACATAACTTCTCAAATTACCAAATGAAAAAACATACTTCTTCCTCTGTTTTAACAGTTCAGAAGTGAAACAGGAATTATTCTAAAACAAATAGAAATGTTACATAACCCCAATTAAAAAACACAGTCAGGATGAAGAAAACACATTGACTTAGCTGTGTTTTATTTTGTTTTTTAATTTACTTTTCTACTTCCTTAGTATAATAAATTGCAGAGATAAATTCTTCACACTTTATAAGTAAATAATATTGGTTACCATTTCATCTTCTTGACCCTGGTTGATAGTCTTCCTTTCTTCTTTGTCCATATCTACAGTGATTTAAAAGGTCTTGTACTCTAGAACAGTTGAAGACAACTAAGAGATGAAGGGAACAAATGTTAGGAAATTATTTCTCCTAGTATTCTATATAACTTCATATTATAACATTTCTTGTTGTGACACATGTATCAATGTTTAACTGGTACTTAAATAATCACTACATTGCTAGCTGGTTCTAATGACATTTTCAATGGTGTGCCAGTTCTTGCACCAGCATAACTTAACAATCACAAAATGTGGTATATTTCATTCCTAAATTTCTACTAGCAATAGCTTTGCTACAAAACAATTTAAATTTTGGGAGAAAATACTACAGAATCTTCCCTTTCATTACCCAGATTCAGAGTCGTAACCTAGTTGTTCCGTAAAGTGCTTCACACAATTCAATTTATTGCTTGAGATATAATGCAGTGAAACCAACCAGCAGTGAAACCAACCCAAAATCTCTTAGGGATTAAAGTATCATCCAATGAATGTTTATTAAGCAAGCTATTACATGAATGACATTCTTTGGCCATTAGTCAATCCCTACGGTATGTACCACTACTGGAGATCACTCAACTGATTTCCCCATTCTCATTCCCAAGTCCGATAAGCAGTCTTTTGACAGTTTCTGACTACTTAAGATGCTAGCTAGTCTAGGAGAAAATTCATTGAGCTCATCAACAAAGTTTCCCCCCCCTCCCCCCCCCCGGTATTAAAAAAAAAAAAGAGATTAACTATAAACAATCGGCCACACATTAAAGAGATTTGCAAATTATAGAACAATGCCTATTTTCTCATGAAACTTTTTGGTTATGGCAAATAAATATTTTTCAGAAAAAAATGTTACTTAATATGTAATAAATGTATTATTGTCACATCTTATTAAACTAATATTCTCATAAATCTATATCAATTTTAACTAACATGGTATCAACAGACATAATGCACATAAACAAAAGCTTTTTAGAGTTCACAGTAAACATGAAAGGTTACCAGTCTGAGCCCAAAGACTTGGAGAGCCACTGCTTAAACTAGGCTGATTGATTTCTGCAAAACAGTGGTAGGTAATAAAACCTCTCTCATTCCTAATGCCATGTTTCTAACTCATCTAGCCAGTGTGTAGTACAGGCCTGATACATGGTAGACACTCAAAAATTACTAGAGTGAATAACACTTGTGCTAAAATAGCATTAGCTGTTTAATGTTTACAAATGTTAGGAAATTATTTATCCTAGTAGACTATAAAACTTCATATTATCACATTTCTTGTAACTTATGTATCAATGTTTAACTGATAATTAAGTAATCAAGTAAAACACCCAAGTAAACCAACTATATCATTTTAAACTAATCCCATATATAAGAATACTGAAATCTCAACAAAATGACCAATGAAAATATTGATGCTTCCTATACCAGCACCCAGCACTTGTCTACCTACTGGTAGCCCTGGACAGGGGGTCAGGGTTAAGTAGAGCCAGGACTTTCTATAGAAATAAAACACAGAATTTTAAGACAGACAGATGACTTAGTGCCATCTTGGAAAAGAAACTTCAGAAATATCTGGTCCAACTTCTCCAAAAGAAGCCATATTATTAAAAAAAAAAAAAAAAAACTTTGAAAAATTTAGTAACAAGTTATTCTTAGTCTAGGCAGTGTTACAGCCATGAAGCATGTTACTACCATGCTAAGAATGATCCATCAAATCAATATGATGTAAGGAAGCAGTTCTCAGGAACCATAACCTGCTGCTATGGACTATGGGGAGAATGAGCTACTAGCCCAACCTCTTCCCTATACAAAAGATCAGCAGCTGTTACCTGAACATGTAAGAGATAGACCAATCTTGCAAGATTTAAATGTGCACATGCCCGCTTTCATGTGATTTAATAGGAAAAAAGAAAACAGAAACAAAAGGTGAGATAAATTTACAACAAACAGAAAGATAACTGATTGAAGCCTAACCATATTAAAAATCACATTAAATATAAATGGTCTAAACATCAATAAAAAGGCAGAGATTGTACTGTACTTTTTTTTAAAGCAAAACTATAGGCAACTACATGCATTTTAAATGTAAAGGTACAATAAGTAGGTTAAAGTAAAAGGAGGATATATCATGTAAGAGCTATTCAAAATAAATGTATTAAAATCAGATAGCAGATTTCAAAGTCAGAACATTACAAAGGATAAAGCAATTTCATAATGACAAAGGAGTCAATTCATAAGCACATCATAATAATCCTAAACATGTATATAAGCCTTCAAAATACACAAATCAGAAACTAATGAAACTGGGAGGAAATAGAGAAATTCACAATTACTGTTGGAGATTTCATTTCAATCTCTCTCTCTCAATAAGAGATAGAACAAGTAAATTAAAAATACTAGTTTGGACATAGAAGATATAAACAATAGTATCAATCAAGTGGTCCTAATTGAAATTTACAGAACATTCTACTCAACCACAGCAAAATATATTTTTAAACTTGTACACAGAACATTTACCAAGAAAGACCACATTCAGGGACATAAAAAAGATTCAAGTTACACAAAGTATGTTGTAAATAAAATGTAATTAAATTAGAAAATAGTAACAGAAGTATAAGTAGAAAAGCCTTAATATTTGGAAACAAAATACACTTCTGAAAATCTATGAGTCAAAGAAATCAATGGGGAAACTACAGTATTCCAAAGTTGAACAAAAATAAAGATTAGCATATTAAATGTGTGGAATGCCACTAATATAGTAGTTAGAAAATTTATAGCACTACTTCCCAGTATCTAAAAAAAAGGTCTGAAATCATGACATCAGCTTCTACCTTAAGAAGGAAGAAAATAGCAAAGTATACCTACAGTAAGCACTGAAGGGAAATAATAAAATTCAGAGTAGAAATCAATGCAATAAGAAACAGAAAGATAGAAAAAAAAATAAATGAAAGAAAAAGCTGGTTCTTAGATATCAATAAAATTAATCATTTCTAATTTTTAGTTAAGACTCAAAGAGAAGGGGGTGGGGGAGAGATACAAATTAATACCAGGAATATGACAGGAAACATCACTACAGATTCTATACATATCAGGATAATTAAGGAATATAATGAACAACTTTACACTTATACATCAACTTTTCTGCAGATTTGAGCATATTTCCAAATAAAAAAAATGTTTTATCAAGGGAATGGCCATGAATACTGTTAAAGCCAAGTTAAAAGCTGAGTAATAGGTACATGAGAGTTCATTATACTAACCTACTTTACAGTATGTAGAAATTATTCATAATATAAAGTTTTTAAATCAATAAATGCAACCATCTGAGAATTCTGCCTCTATAAATCTAAAATAACTGTTCAACCTATTGTGTACAGGCATTATCTATAAACTCATACCGCTGGATTTTGAATCTAACTAGTCTTTGGTCTTGTTTTTTTATTCATTGCCTAGAAATATAGATGTGCTTCCTAACTTTTGTAAACCTCAATTTTTCACTGTAGAATCTATTAGTAAATACTTGTGCTTTTTATGACTTTAGAAAAAGAATTGCCATTAAAATTCAGTGTTTTCATTTAGTCCATGTACTTATAACAATTTATAACCTTTTCCTCAAACATCTGACAAGAGTTCACCTTAATCTAACATAACTGCATTTTCATCTTCTACAACCTGACCAAAACAAAAAAATATTCCTATTATTTTAAATGTGCACTGCCTATAACAATCTATTTCCATACTTTTAAAAACACAATTCTTGAACAAATTATCTCTTTATTCTTTTTACAAGTGTTATTTCTCTGAAATTTAGCTTCCCTTTAAAGGTAAAATTCTTTAACTCTTACCCAATTTTACCAAAATTGAGTTAAAAATAATTTAAATAAAATGTTGCTCTAAAAGCCACTCACTAATTATTATTCTCTTTAATATACCTCATAGAAAATTACTAAGAACTCACCTTTTACATAAACTTTTAGTAAAATCTAATGAGACAATACCAAATTTACATTTAAAACATATACATATTATAAATGTATATTTAAATTTTAAAAATATATCTAGAGATCCTTATTATTTCTATGACTCTATAAAAACAAAAGTCTATATAACACATTTTAAAACATTGATTTATCAAGATGAAAATACATTTTAAATACTATCCTACCATATATCTAATTAGGACATCTGAAGTATTAACATTAAACTTCTAAAATCCATTTAACTTACAGAAATATAACTTTGGTGATTTGCTGGAATGCATTTTTAATCAAGTCACTGTCTAGATCATAGGAAACAAAGAAATTTTTCTTACCAATTGCACTATAATTATTCCTTCCAATTGCTGATGTTAGCAGAGCTTTCAAAAGCTGGCTCTTAATAAAAATAAAATAAAACTAAGCAAAAAAAAATTGTTCAAATAAGAATTTTCTGTCAAATATTTGTTTTGGCTCTTTTTGAGCTACTTGTAAAATAAGACATTAAAATTTAGGATTTTTTAATTCACTAAAGTTTTCAGAAGATAAACCTTCTGCCAACTGACTACCACTGGTAGAGCTCCTATTACTTGAAGTCCCAACTCCACAGGGCATGCCTGAGCCTTGATGTTATCTAAAGAGCAAGGAGCTTATAGGCTATTGTGCTTTAACCAAACCCTTCCTTGCATTTACAATGAACTTGATTTTTTTTGGTAGGTGAAAATAGCAGCATAGCCAAAAAGTGAAGCTATCAGAAATAAATATCACTAAGTCTAATACTAATTTTTTAAGTTTACTTATTATTTCCATTATATAGTTACTAAGAACCATTAAATAGTTTAACCATTTAAGTACATCTTTAACCTAGGATAAGAGTTAGTCATATTTCATTTCCTAAAACAAGATGAACTGGTCTCAATAGCATAGAAATCCCCAATCCTCTAAGGACCACTCAGCAAAATATGTTTTTAAAGATCCTGAAGTAATAAACAGCACAGCTAGAATTCTCAATATTTTATTGTAAAAAAAAAAAAAAAAAAAAAAAAGAGGTTCTGCCTTCACAGTTGGAATAAAAGTACCCTAATACATATACAATGCCTACTCTGCTCATTAAACCACTCCAATTTTAGTATCTATACAAATGTATGTATAAAAGTGGAGGGGAGAGACCCAATCTCCCTATTACAGTAACCAAATTATGATAACTCTTTTTGAGGACAAGACTTACTACTTCAAGTCAGCTCCTAACAATAAGAATGACATAATATAATTTAATGAATACATGGAAATTTTACAGGGATACCAGCTAAATTTTAACAAAGCTCCACTCAATACCCATTTTATCACTTCCCATCTTGGACTTTCTCTTATAATACATGCTTTTGTTTCTGTGTTTAGACTTAAGGAAGACCATTGTATGCAACATACACCAAAGCAAGACTGTATTTACATTTGTAAGGTGTAGTTTTTGTATACTTACACTTTTTTGTATGTTACAAAACAATGTGATAGTTATAACAAAATAAGTTCTAATTAGGAAAGATAATGCAATTATCTGTCACAGAAATCAATATTAAGGACATTAAGAGTTGTAAACGGCTACCAGAGGGAACAGTGTGTTTGGGTAAAAGTGAGGGAGAAGCTTTAGTGCTTTTTTGAATACTTTAAACATGTACATGTAATGATTTTTTATTGATTTCAGAGAGGAAGGAAGAGGGAGAGGGAGAGAGAGAAACATCAATGATGAGAATCTTTTATCAGCTGCCTCTTGCAGGCCTCCCCACTGGGGATCAAGCCCACAATCTGCGCATGTATCCTGACTGGGAATTGAACCATGACCTCCTGGTTCATAGGTCAACCAATGAGCCATGCCTGGCAGGGATGTAATAATATTTTTAAATAATTAACTTCTAATTCTACAATGCATGGTCAACCTTGGGTTTGGACTTGTAGAATCTCCAAAGCACTTCATGGTGCTCTACCAGACTATTCTCCAAATTCTCTAAATCTCACTCTTAATTAAGTTACTTTAGCCCAGGCAAGTATGTTTAAATATTTTTTTTATTTTTCAATTTAGTTGATATACAATATTATATTAGTTTCAGGTGTACAATATAGTGATTAGACATTTATATAATTTACGAAGGGACCACTCTGGGCAAGTAGTCATTTTGAAGATTCCTTTAACATGTATATTTCTAGTAAGCTACAGCTAGCTCTTTATATTTATTTTTATATTCCTAACACATTTTGGCTCCACTGGGAAGTACTAGCCAGTGACACAACATAAGTACAGTAGCAGCAAATGCAAAATTATTTTATCAAATTAATTAATCTATAAGCATTAAGTGAATATATATACCATATTCATTACCATATTAGGAACAGGAGATATATAACTTTACCCCAAAACACATAATACAAAACAAAAACAAATGTAAAAAGTAGAGAACTCTAGAATCAGCTTTAACTTGTCTTTAAATGACAATTTAACATGACTATTTGCAAGTTCCTTCAAATGTCTTGGTTCAACTTCGTCATTAAAATGAGGCAGTTGTAATAATTCATCCGATGCAATCCAACCATGAAAGTTTTTACCTAGGCAAATATTGCCTTTGTATATAACCTGCTGTTACACTCTTCCACCAGTAGGTGACATTCCAACACTGGTAAGGAGAGAGGAGGACCGTTTTCTCCGGTCTTCACAGCACAACTGACCAAGTGTTGTTAAGAGGTTATAGAAGATTTTTTTTAGTATTGGAGGTACTAATATGGAAAAGTATGAGTTTTCTATATAATAGAGCCTGTTTCATGTGTCTCAATAGAAACATAAGATATCAATGAACACAAAACAAATGACAATGGGAAGGAGGAGGAAAACAGTACATTATTATTCCCTTTATACTATAGATTCCTCCCAAATTCACAATTGTCTGACACTAGAATTTAGGGATCTTGCAATATTGTGGAGCAAGAAGGAACAGTAACATTTAAAAAGCTCATAAACCTATAAGAAAGCGAGAGAAGTTTAAAATTAATGGTAAAACATTACCTGCCCATAGATGGCAAAAAAAAAAAAAAAAAAAAAAAAAAAAAAAAAAAAAAAAAAAAAAAAAAAGCACCCTTAAATGTTGCTATCAGGAATGCACCTTTTTGGAAAATCAACTGATATTAAAATTTAGGATCCCTATAAACTTTGATCCAACAAGCCTAATTAGAAATTCATGTCACTTGTACCTATACAAACTACCATTAACCATTTCTTCAAATTCCTCTGCATTGTTAGACTTATGAAATAAGTAAAAGTTTTGTGCTTTTTTTTTTCCTTTAGGGACAAGAATAAAATAACCTACTTTAAACAAACAAGGGTATTTTCAAACAAGCACAAAAGAATTTGTGTGGTATGGGCATCTAATAGAATAGGAACTCTCAAATCAAGAGTTCTAATAAATAATAAACAAACCAAATTCATAAGTGTGCCTAACTCCCCTAACTAAAAATTACACTTTTAAATTCAGGTGTAAAATGATTGTTTTGTTGTTGTTAATATATAAATCAATGTTTATCCCATTCTAATGCAAATTAGTGACACTTCTAAAAAATAATGCTATTAATCCAAATCCCTAGTAACTATATATTTCTATTGGCAATTTAAAAGACAGTATTTGAAATTTAAACATTCATAGTTCTAAGATTCATACTTTTCACCTGGCTTTCAAATGTATTTTTTGAAAACAGACCCTTGAAAGATGCTGCTGTCTACATTTCATTCCTTAATTTGTTGGTAAAACTTTCTGATATTAAGTTCCTTCATGCTTGACTTTCTAGCAAATATAAAAAATGCTAATTTTGATTAAGTGAAGATTTTCCCCCCTGTTTTGAAAAGGCAATATTGATTGGAAATAATTAGTAAATAATGCCTGTGGAAATATTCTGTAAACTAAAGGTCTTTGTATAAATGTCAGTTATTATTATTACGGTTGGCACATTACCCAAATATATTGATTTGTTAAAAAATCCTTATTATAGAATGACCACAGAAAATGAGAAAGTTCAGATTTCTATAATGGTTACACCATGAGAAAACCATTATCCTCTTCAACAAAAATTTAAAGTTCCGTATTTTTAAAACATTTGTTAAAGGCAGATGCTAAGGTCTTTGTACTTTCTTCCTATGCTGAGTCAACATGGGTGGGTTTCAAACTGGGAAAAAGGAGTAAAGTTGAAAAAGGCTAATTAACATAATTATATTTTATTTTTGTCATTATTGCTAATCTTCACTGCAGGACATTTTCCCTTTGATTCTTAGATAGTGGAAAGGAGGGGGGAAAGACAGAGAGAAACACCAAGGTGAGAGAGACACATTAATTGTTGTCTTACGCATGTGCCCTGTGCCCTGTGCCCTGACTGGCCAGGAATTGAGCTTGCAACCAAGGTGCCTGCTTGTCCTTGACCAGAATTGGACCTGGTGGTATCCTTGAGTCCATGGGCTGACGCTCTATCCAAGAGCCAAACTGGCTGGGGAACATAATTTTTAGAAGTTGATCTTAGAGCCTATCATTTATAATTGTAAACTTGTAGGACTGTACTTTTTGTGCAGAATAGTTTGCTAGTGATTTTGTGCTTCTTTGTGTTTGGGTCTTCATCTGAAAAAATGCAATGTGAAGCATATTGTAATATAAATCATGAATAAAATTGATTTTTCTTTCTTGCAAACATAATAATCCTGAAGTAAACCAGGCTGAGTAATGAAAAAAATTATTTGGGGGTTTGCTATTAATAAAAAAAAAAAAACTGAACATCTCTGGGATCTATGTGTTAACTCCTAAACATAGTAAAGACTTAGAAGTATAATTCTCCTGAAAGTTTTCTTCTATTCTCTTTTTTCCTTCTCTCCTCTTTCCTTTACCCTACCCCCATCTCTCATCACATCCTGGCCCTTCTCCACTTTGCTGCTCTATTTTTTTTTTACATATCTCAGTAAGAATGCACTTTATTTAACTGAAATAGACAATACTATGAACAGTTGAGACCAACTTTGAGCATGTGCATGCAGTGACCACTGCGCCAATAGCAAAAACAGCTTCATCTAAGCTGCATCCTGCTTTTACTGTAGCTACTTCATAAGAAAGTAGTGACTAGGCTCCCAAGATAACCCATGAATGACCTTCATACTCCCACAATAAAGCTGAATTACACGCCACATTAAGCTAGCCTGGGTTGTGTAGCAGGTAGTCAGGTAGGAAGTTTCTACTTCCTCTGCCCGCTTCTTAATTTTTAATATTCCCCAAGCCTCCTCTTCCTCTGCCCACTTCTTAACTATTAATTTTCTCCAGGCTTCTCTCTTTGTAACATCACCAGGGCCCAAAGATGGCACTACTAACCTACCTATGCCTCTT